ACATACATTCTTTTTTTTTTCTTCTAAAAGAGATGCCTACTGAAGCGTTTTTCTGGATTCTTTTGGGTGTGGATTAAAACACTGGATTCCACAAACAGAAATGCACTAATTTATTCAACTTGACTAGATAGAAGATTTATGCACACCACTATTTATGTCTGACTATTTATTTACGAATTATTATGTCGCGCCATTGACTGCCATATCCTGCTTCCCTCTTCCGGCCGCAGGGACTCGTTGATTCCGGTGAGCCACAAAGCGGTATTCCAGAATCTTCGAGGTCACTTCGCGTCGATCTCAAAGAAGATTCCTTGGCATGGTTCTCAACAGATCTCGCCAGCACCGAAGGGGAGTCTCGCGGTTCCCAGCAGATGGCGCCAATAGTACTATTCATTCTTGTTACACTGCCCCCTCCCTAAAGTAATTCCGTCCCGGAATGACCATCCTGGTGGTGGATGTACATATCAGCACAACTGCCCTTTCTTGCAGTAGGAATTCTTGAAGAAGTAACAATCCGCACTCTTTTCAGAAATCCAATGCCTGTATACCGGAAGACTACCTCAAGCATGCTTCGGATGATTCTCCAGTCCAGATTGTCCAGTCCACATGCCAGCTTAGGTATTGCCAGTTTTCGCAGGTCCTCGACAAGCAACACTTCTCTAAGAGAACACAAAGCGTTCCAGACATCCTAGTAATTCGGTTGCTGACACGAAGCTTTCTTAGTAACCAGATAGAAGATCTTTCGGTTGGTACCATCTTCAGTTATCTGGAGTACTTCTACGACTTCCGGGTTAGATCGTCGCAGCTCGTGCATTCTTCCAAACTTCCTGAGAAAGACCTTTGATATATACACAGTGTGCCAGGGCATGCTCTGGTGAAGTCGTAAACACATCTTGCTGTACTTCACATGTCACGCCATTCCAACTCTTACGGCCATTAGCGTACTGGGCCATAAATTGGTCAAATGTCATGTCCGGTTCTGGTTGGATTTGGAAATGTACAATTCGGGCTTCCGCGTGGTTCCTTCTGGTTCCTGTAGAGAACATTGTTGATGGTCTCCAGAACTTTATATGGCCCGTCCCAGGATGATTGAAGTTTATTTAGGCGACAGCCTCTTTGGGTCATAAAGCCAAACCGTATCACCGTTGTCATACCTCTGGTCTCTGGCATTAACGTCATAAGCTTCCTTCATCTGGTCGCTGGCACCTCAAATTGAAACACGAACCTGGCTATGGATGGCGTCCATTCTTCTGCGCAGCTCACTTACGTAGTCTTCTCAGGCAATATCAGTTCCTGGTGGACAGCCAAACTTTAGATCTTATGGGCGACGAAGTTCTCTTCCCGTAACTATTCTGGCCAGGGTCTCTCCTGTGCTTTCATGAATCGACGATCGGTAAGCCAATAAGAAGATATGACAGGTGGAGAAAACTATCCCAGCTTCTTTGATGGCTAGAGACTACCTTAGCCAAATACCGGTTAATGGTCCTATTCATGCGTTCCATCATTCCATCTGACTGCGGGTGTAAGGAAGTAGTCCTGATCTTCTTAATTCCAAAGATTTGATAGATATTCTGGAACAGATCTGACTCGAAATTGCGCCCTTGGTCTGAATAGATATACCAAATCGTAGAGGCTTCCTGATTTGGCAGAGCTTATGCCTCAACCCACTGAAGTAATCCATTACCACAATGATATATTTATTCCCTGCTTCACTTTCTGGAAAGGGTCCCGCCACATCAATATCCTTTCAAAGAGGCTCCCCACGTTGTATTGCCGCATCGAAGCTCTTGGTTTTCTTTGCTGTCCATTACTTGCCGCACACACAACGCATTTTTTGCACCAGTCTTTTACGTCCTCCTTGCTATTGTCCCAGTAGAATCTTTCCCTCACTTTTCCCAGGGTTTTTGTAACTCCGAAATGCCTGACACACCGGAAAGGATTTCTTCTAGCAGCTCCGGGATCCGACATCTGGGGATAACGATTTGCCTTATTTCCTCTTTGCCGTCGTGGTCCACCATTTTACGCAGTAAGAGTCCGTCGTCTATAACTAGAGAATTCCATAGTGCCCAATATGATTTTATGGTAGAAGAATACTTGGCAACTTCCTCCCAGGCTGGTTTCCGTTGTTCTTTCATCCAGTTCAGAATTATTTGGAGATCGGGATCGCTCTCTTGGTCTTTAATGAGGTCTTCATTTTACCAAGTAACACTAACGATAGTGGTTCTTAATACTTGGGCATCTTTCTCCTCTGCCCGCTGGCAATGCTTACCATCGTCTAAACAGCCTCTCCTAACGTGCCCTATTTTTCCACATTTCCAACTTGCTGTTCTGGCGGCGACGTTCACCATCAAGTTCCTTAACAATGCGCTTGACGGACTCTTCGAATTCGTTATCTCCTGGCACCATCTGGCGGACTCGGACCTGACTTTTATTTAGCGGCTTCGAATTCTAAGGCCCGAGTTAGCGCATCTACTAGCTTAGGTGGATGTGCTAGTAGTAAGGCTTGCCTCATTTCACCATCACGAAGTCCATCCAGGAATACTTGAACTGCCAATCGCTCCATTATCCTTTCCTGAACATCGGGATATGCTAATCGTACAACCGCGCAATATCCGCTTCGAACTCCTGCAAGGACTCACCTGACTTCTGGAACCGATTCTTTAATTGAGTATGGTAGACATGTTCTAAATGTGACTGGCGATACCGCATCTCCAAATGTACTATTAGCTGTTCGTAGACCTCTTGCTCTTCGGGTGATATTCTTTGAAGAATTGCTGCAGCATCTCCTCGCAGGGCCGAAGTGAGTGCAGTTACCTTTTCGGTCGATGAGCAACCATTTGCATTCGCGGCTGCCTCAAACTGACGCCGGTAGACATTCCAAGGCGTTGTACCATCAAATTGGGACGGTTTCATTCGCATATGACTAGCTGACCCAACAGAAGCTCCAACCTCACTTGATTTTTCTGTTGTTCGTCGATGGTCTTGACGTCTAAAGCGGCAAACTTGGCTTGCATTTCTTGAATTATGTCCTCCAAAGTTTCTAAAATCCGTTTTTCTGACTCGCAAGATTTCTCGATAATTTTATCTTCCAGTTCTATTTTTAAAATGGCAGTATTTTCCAAAAACTTCTCTTCTAATTTGGCTGTACTTTCGTGCAACTCCAAGAGTTTTCCTTCTAGGTGGGCACAATTTTCCACGAGTCTATTTTCTAACTTGGCTGAGTTTTCTAAAAGATCGGCACAAATTTTCACGAGCTTTCCCTCTAGGTTGGCACAATTTTCCACGAGCCTTCCTGCTAGGTTGGCCGACTTTTCTAAAAGATCGGCACAATTTTCTATGAGTGTTTTCTAACTTGGTCGAAAGTTTTTGCAGCATTAAACCAATATCCCTGCACCGGTAAAAATAAAAATATCCGGGTCCTCACCTTCCTCAATCAGTGCTTGTCGAAGCCGCTCCTGTAATTCCAGCCGTGTCGCACTCTCTTTCCTCCAGCTCTCTCTTTAAATCGGCAATTTTCAAATCAACCAATCGCGCCATTCTTCCTTCACTGATCGCCCGATTTATTTTTACTAAAGGTCCAATAATCCACACCACACACCTGACACCAATTGTAGCGTTTTTCCGGGTTCTTTTGGGTGTCGATTAAAACACTGGATTCCACAAAAAAATGCACTAATCTATTTAACTTGACTAGATAGAACATTTATGTACACCACTATTTATGTCTTACTATTTCCGAATTATTATGTCGCGCCATTCACTGAGCTATACTCTACTCTGCTTCCCTCTCCTGGCCGTCGAGTTATAGAGGTATAGTCCTGTGAGCCACATAGCCGTATTCCAGAATCTTCGAGATCACTCCGCGTCGATCTCGAAGAATAGTCCCTGGCAGTCTCGCGGTCCCCAACAGATGTCGCCACCGTCTGGCGCGGTCCTCATCAGATGGCGGTAACAGTACTATTCATTCTTGTTACAATACAAAAAAAAAATGCAGCTGTAATTGAAAAGGCCAGTATTCCGAAAACTTCTATGAGGGTTTTAAAAAGAACGATTGATGGGCTTTAGGTATTTAAAGCGGACGAGGGAGTCATGTCAATGCGGAAGTACAGAGACGAAAATGGAAAGATATATTATCTTGATGAAACGTGGGTGAATGGAGGATACACTATGCCAAAGGATTTGCAAGATATGAATATTACCAGTCGTCGACAGGCCTTCAAGGATGGATTTTCTGCAGTAGGAAAATCACCTACAGGAAAGTCTGAACTTTTTCTATGTCATAACTATATAGTTTTTTTTATTATAATTCAGCATTATTCATTTTGGTCAACTGCATCTTTGGTTTTGTGACAGAACAGTATAATGATTTTTGGGATAACAGTATATATCATAACAGATGTTTTTATTGGAATAATGCTAAGAGTTTGTCTATTGACTTTGAATTTTAAATTTATCCGGATATTGTAAGTTGACTTCTGATGGTCATGATAGGTCATGATTTGTCTCACATATGTTCAGAATTTATGGTCTTGTGTCTAAGCTAACTAAACTAACTGTTTAATTAGCAATGAAACTCTTAATGCTTTTTGTAAATGAGCAGAGTTTACATACATTTTTTCTGTGCATTTTGACAGAAACATTTAAAATAATCTTACTTCAAATTATCTTTCAATCAAATAAGGGATTTACAAGTTATTTTATACAATACGCCAAATGGTACAAATTGCTGGTTAAATAAATGAAATACTTTGCTATTATATATTGACACCTTTTATAAAAATTAGTTAGCAAATACATGGAACAATCCCCATCTACCAATTGCGCACCGCGGCTGCCCTAGAGATGAGCTACTGCCAAGAATTTTGTACTCAGACTGTAGATGCTACTCATGTAAATGACACATGCTTGATTCATTCTAAGATAGTGAGTTTAAACTTGAATTACAATAATAAACATGATATTCATAGACTACAGTCAAAAACATTTATTTTAGTTTGTACCTGTTCATCCGTATTCTTCATGCTTCTCATTAATTTCAAATACTCTCTAATTTGGTGGAGTTTAACTTCAATCTGTTTTTTATCAGGATTCTTGGAGACGTTGTCACATTTCAGTATAGAACTAGACGAATTTCTTCTGGATGTTGTCAAACTAGTATTAGGTGATCCTAAATAGAGAACACAAAATATGAACTTACTTGAAAAACTCAGGAATTTACAAGAGAATTATGTACAGATTATATTAGTAGCAAGATCCTGCCACAAATTCCGTTCATTCTGGTACACTCTATATAGACAGAATTTATATGGCCAGATCCCAGTCACAGTCACGACCACTCTATGAACAAACATTAAAAGAGGCCTAAAAACAAAATAAACATCGAAAGTTAAATTGCCTCTTAAGTCCAGTGCCATGATGTAGTGAGTCTAGAGCTGGCATTAGGCAATCTGAATTAAGAAAAATCAATGTCAGAGGCAGCAAAAGTGTTCATCAAAGAACAAAATCCCTAAGAAGGCATGCTTTAAAATCTTCAGGGCCTAGCAAAAGGGGATAACTGTTGATTCTGTAGAAAGCACAAGAAAAACCCTTCTGAAGTGAAGGCCTGGCAAGGTCAAGTCTTCAGACATTTGGCATCATAAATCTGAAATCAGAATGCAACCAGTGACAGGAGCATCATTTACATCATGTAAAATACATTATTTTCTACGTAGTCATGCCATAAGTTCTGTCCCTCGTTTTCAAACAAGTGTAGACCTGTTAATACTTGTCCGATTGTTTACATTGTGGTGTCAGTTGATTAAGCGCTTTTCGGGTAATTACATATACCTCAGTTTGTATTGATCTCTCGAAGCATAACGATGGAGTGGGGCAAGGCAGAGAACCGTATTGCAGTGATAGCTTTACATAAGTGTAATCACAGTGCTAGTCAGATTTTTGAACTCTTACGCGGCCTTCAAATATCGCGTAAATTTGTGTCTAGGACCATTCAGCGGTACAATGAGACGTCCTCTGTTGATGACAGGCCAAGAAGCGGAAGACCTCGTCAAGTAAGGACTCCAGCAGCCATCAAAGCCGTAAAAGCCAGGATTCAAAGGAATCCACTCCGGAAGCAGAAGATCCTATCCAGGGAAATGAAGATTCCTGTCCGGACGATGTCGCGCATCATTAAACAAGACCTAGGGCTAGGGGCTTACCGGAGACGTACGGGCCAGCGACTTACGGCCACCTTGCGACACATCAGGGCGACAAGATCCAAGAAGCTCTTGGAGAGGTACGCAGCTGGGGGATTCCGAAAGATTTTGTTCACGGATGAGAAAATCTTCACCATAGAAGAAAAATTCAACCGACAAAATGACAAAGTGTATGCAAGGAGTTCACAGGAAGCTTCGGAGATCATTCCGAGAGTTGAGAGAGGCCACCACCCTGCGTCAGTCATGGTTTGGTGGGGGGTGTCCTACGAAGGGGTCACTCAGCTCCATTTCTGTAAACAGGGCGTGAAAACAAAAGCGGCAAACTATCAGAGCGACATACTGGATCCTATCGTCAAGCCTTTAAGTGGTACATTGTTTGCCAACCAACACTGGGTCTACCAGCAGGATTCCGCCCCCGCTCACAAGGCTAAGAGTACGCAGCGCTGGCTGGAAAGCAATGTGCCAGAGTTCATTGCTGCGGAAGATTGGCCCTCAGGGAGTCCGGACCTCAATCCTTTAGACTACAAGTTGTGGGACCTGCTAGAGCAGTTGGCCTGCTCCAAAGCCCACCGTAATATCGAGTCCCTGAAAGCGGATTTGATCCGATCAGCGGCAGCTATTCCTTTGGAAGCTGTGCGTGCAGTGATAGATGAGTGTCCCGCGAGATTGAAGCAGTATGTGAAGGCCAAGGGGGGACATTTTGAATAAAACTGTTTGATTATGAATTCTAAAAATGTTGTCGAATAAATAATATCTTTCATATAAATATATCTTATCTTGTTTCATTTTTATCATGAGATTATCATGGGACAGAACTTATGGCACGACTACGTACATGCAGACAGTTGGATTTGTTTACATCTTAACAGTTGTGTAGACAATTTATGAAATCCAGGTATTAGAGGTTTCAACTTCAAATCAACTTGCATAATAGGTATTCCTAAACCTAACTGTTAATTACTTTTCAATTACTCCCTCCATTATTCTCACCAAGTGGTAGCACCCACATCAAAAATAGTTCGCCCCAGATTCCAAATTAATCAAAATCATGAAAGACTTTTCCTTTAGAGGAGGTATGTATGTAAGAGAGGTGTTCGTGAAGGGGAATTTCACTGTATATGGTTTGATTCTGCCAGACAAACACAGAAGAATATGAATATTTTATATATATATATATATATATATATATATATATATATACTCATATACCATCATGATATAACCTGTTAATTATCTACTATGACCATTATCTCCATATTGAGGGCCAGCTAAAGATAGTAAGCAAGTGATGCAGCATCCTTAAGGAACAGTGCCATGTAGGGCAAACAATTCTCAATTAATATAGGAAGGAGATGCATTTTTTATCCTTTGCCTTAAGACTCATAAAACTATATTTATCCTATCCTACATAATCCGCTATTATGAATCATGGAGAATCAAGAAATTAAGAGACAGTGCCAAATTTTGCTTTGAAATAGCATCCAAATAAAGGGTTTCTGAGAAATGTATTTTGAATTTACCACATACTGGAACAGTTTATAAGCTTAATTATACTATGAATACTAACCTTGAAGAATAATCCCAAATTGATATACATATATACAGAGAAATTGAAAAAACCTGATCTATTAAGACCCTTGACATGATGAAGTTTGGGATATTTGCCTCAAGCGCACACAAATCTCACATAAAACTCACCATTTGAACTAACATTTGTACATCCATTTTCTTCAATAGTGGAATTCATTGCAAAATAGTTGTTTTGCTGGATTCTCCTAGGGTTCCTGTTAAATCCTGAAGGATCCGATCCGTGCTGCCAGTAGCCAGCCTGCAAATAAACTGTATTACGTTCGGAAAATGAATGAAAATATCATTCCGAGCGGGACGATTTTATTTTTAGCCCATTGACCTAATGAGATCATATCAAAACGTGGATTGTGCTCTTACCGAATTCTCTGGATGCCGAACCGGGGATATGTTGTTGCGATGTCGCACTTTTGGAACCGTTCCTGTATAACGTTTGTTTGTCTTCCTGCCTTCGTCAGACATGGATCTAATAATACGGATTCAAGTTTATCAAAGGAATGGAGATGATAGAAAGCACAGCGAGGTTATAGAGAGTTTACTAGTGTTGATCAACACCTTTTATGGATTCATACAGCGATGTCAGCAGAGAAGTTTCTGATGTTAATTTTTTTACTTGTATTGCCAAGGGTCAGAATGCCCTACAATAAATGTGAACTGATAACTATGTAAACATAAAGTTACTTTTCAAAATTATCTAAAGGCTGGAAACGGCAAAAACTTTTTAAAATCATAAACTCTGGTGAGAGGCAGTGGGAAACACGCAAACCGTTTTGATTCATTGAATTTTCAAAAGATTTTATAATGTAAAATGGCAATGGAATGACACACAAAACATATACACTGAAGAAGGTTTAATCGTTTAATTCCATGCTATTCAATGGCAACATGGCAACAGGGTGACTTGTGGGGCTGTCAGCGGCCATTTTTTGAGGATGCGACACGGTTGCCAGATTGTGCACTAATACCCCGCAACTTTGCCAGCTCTACAAATAAATCTGAGATTACTATACTTTTATATATAAATTTGGTGGGATATGGGATATCTTATTACAGCATGTGTTATTAACATTTTGCGCTATCTTAATGAATAAGTGCTTTTTTGAATATTAAAATAGCAACGTCAATAACACAAGCTGTTATAAGATCACTCATATCTACTTACTAATCTGGATAGGTTCAGAAGAAAAACATATACTGCAAATATTTAAATATATATTTATTATATAAATCTCATTCATTTTCCTACAAGCAAATCTGTATTAACATTACTATGGTCCAGATGTTTTCATTCCCCAGCCTTTGTTGGCACCTGCATAAATCAAATATTAGGAAAAAATTAAATTGTGTTATGTTACTACAATTCACCTTTCTTTTTTTATTAGAAAAATAATGTTATTGTACATCTTTTTGTGAAATTGTACCTGCCCCCAAAATTTTTTGATGAGCAGAAGTAGCATTTTCCTCAGGGAGGACAAATTCTACAAAATTATCAAAGTTGTACACAAAACCATGCTAAATATGCAAATTTTGAAGTCAAAGTAGTCACAGAACACCACGGCCCATCTAACACCACACTCAGTGGGCACCCACGTTATTGTTCAATAACATATGGCTCCGATTTCATTGAAATTATACTGAGCTTTGCATATCAACTCTGCTGCTCTAAGAATAGATGATTTAAAATGGAATATGGAAACTATTTTGGACAAAAAGCAGTATAAATCATCACTGGTTATTGAGCCATATAAAAACTTACAAATGTTATGGTGTGCAAATATCCTTCAGAGCTGTGCCTTCTGGTTAGATCATAAGTAATCTCTGAACTTCTAATAATTCTCAGGACCTCAGGGGTTGACACTGGCGGCTGAACGTTTCGTAATGCTCCACTGTTCACAAAGTTATGTGGAGATTCCAACAGGTATGATCTTCAAATATTACACTCCTCAAATGAGTAACCTCTGTAATCTCTGATCTTCTTCAGCATCTGCAGAAGGCTGGCTATTGACGGATCACTTTGAATCACCTTAAAAAAGAAACAGTTTTGATTTGAAGTTTGTCTTATAGTATTTACAAATATATTACAGCTTTGGGTACTTAAATTTTTATACTTCACAACTCTGAACAAAAGTCTCAAATCTCAAATAACATAATAGGGACTTTAATCAATCAAAATAAAATGTTTATGTTACGCACAACGAAAATGGCTTGCGGAAAAAGTAAGGTAAGGTTATTTTTTCAAAGCACAGCCACAGGCAGAAACCCGCCTGAAATTTAAATCTGACCAATCAGACAACGTTAGTTGTAAATAAGCCGCCATTTTTTGAGGGTGCGACATGATTGTCATATTGTGCACACGCAACACTGCTTTGCTTCCCATTCGCTCATATGAGTTCACCCCCCCCCCCCCTGTGAATGCTGACTTTCACAGTAACGGAGCGCGATTGCCACAGTTATCAGTTCTCTTTCTTAAGTCCGGTCTAGACATACTATTTTGCCGTACGTCTTGCATGTCAGACAAAAGGGTCATGTATGACAGTTGAAAGACTACCGTACACACTTGAAAAGTTTTAACGTACGTTTTTAGATCAGTTTTTGGTAGATCATGGTGGGAGCACTACTTTTGTCAATAATAGCGATGTGTTTAGTGAAATTGAAAAGAAAAAGAAAGGCTTATCGACGTTCACTTTGGTCAAGGGCGTGGTTGCTGAAAAGAGAAAGGTTCTCCATCGTAAATTCACTGCGAGAATTTCGTGATGAACCTGAAGATTTACGTAATTTCTTAAGAGTGCATATAGAAACATATATGTATCTACTGAGGTTAGTGACTCCACACATACAGAAACAAAACACTCACATGAGAAAGGCAATATCGCCCATGAAAGATTAATAGCTACATTAAGGTTCTTAGCAACAAGTCAGCACCATAATATAAAATCGAGCACTATAGCACTGAGTAATATAATACCAGAAACGTGTAAAGCTTTTCATAAAATAGATTTTTTCAAGGTAAGTAAGTAAGATTACATGAATCTACAAACATGGGCAACAGTGAAAAACTCAAGTTATTAATACCGACGTACTTTCACTCACTATATCTAAATTAAGACAATTTTTCGCTAAAACTAGTAATTAATTGGCTAAGAGCTTCAGAACAAGAATAATTTGTGTAACTAGTGTTAGCTCTTGGATTAGATGTCCCAGCTATCTTTTGTTGAAGCAAATGACAATCATGGGGTGCTGCCATGCTAGGCTGACCAACATTTGTTGAAATTTGATGCGGTTGTTGATTAGAAGGAATAATGCCATTACCAATATCTGTTGATTTTTGAGATGACTGTTGGTTAGAAGGGGCCTGCGCCTGCCCTACATTCTGAAACCTTATAATCTCTAGTCAAAGTCTCTAATTCTGCCTCAAAAATGATATCATTTACTAATTTTCGAGCTAATATATCCTGCGTTTGTGAAAGAGTTCTTAATTTATTGGGAATATGTTTTCCAAACCCATCAAAAGAATCTTCTTTTTGCTTTAATTGTTCTCTGCAATTCATCGGTTTTATCATTGTCTTCGCGTAGTTTTCGTTTTCTTGTGATAGATGACCGTAAACAGGAAGATGAGTAAGGCTTGACAATGTTGATGTCTTTCCTACCATTAGTAGTAGGGAGTGATATATCAGACTCTAGATGTTCTTCCTCTTCGTCCTCAGATAGTTCGATATCCATCTGAAAAAAAAACATCATTAAAAACATACAAATTATTTACTGACCTGTTCAATTTTCCTACTCATATAAAGAAATAGCACGTCAAAATGATGCCTACTTGCAGTTAAAATTATTATTTTACTTTCAGTTCCCAACGACTGAAGAAGAATGGATTGACATTGTCAGTGGTTTCCAAAAAAAAAGTGGCAATTTCCTCACGGTTAGGTGCGATGGATGGAAAACACATCAGAATTGTTGGTCAAACGGCTGGACGGATTTTCACATATGAAGTGTCGTTGGATTCGTCTTAGCGGTGCGAGTGACACTAGATACATTGAAATTTTATAAAAAACAAAATGGTGGATTTTAATAAAAGATTTCAACCTTGTCATTCCTACTTCATAGGCTACAGATCAAACGGCTTGATATAATTTTCACATATGAAGTGTCGTTGGATTCGTCTTAGCGGTGCGAGTGACACTGGCTACATTAAAGTTTTATACAAAACAAAATGGTGGATTTTAATAAAAGATTTCAACCCTGTAATTCCTATTTCACACTCTATAGCTTAAACGGCTTCTAGCTCCACAATAGAGCGTATCGTCTCTTCACTGTAAAAACGCAACTCGAAAAGTAGAAAAATGGAGTTATCTTATTTTTGCAGTAAGGTGGTGGTATAACAATAAATGGAAATGACTTAGTCTAAGCAACAATTCTTTTCCATTTCCTTTTACGATTTTTCTGGTCTTTCAAACTTTTATTCAGTTCTTTGATCCGGAAGAACATCCTTGACCTGAAAAACAGTTTTTTAGCTTTTTCAGGGCAGTCAGTGTTGCTGCTCTACAAGAGAAGTTCACCTATAAAATTTTACTTTAAGCCACTATTCCGTCCCCATTGAATGTAGTGAACACCTTGTTCAGCTTCTCAATTTGATTCATGAAAGTTGCGGAAGGTTTTGATAATCCACCCTCACTAAGATGGTCTATCCATGAATAAGTTTAATTTGAGGAACTTTTCAACCTCTCATCCTGCAATTTATTGCAAACAAAGCCGGCCAAATTTTCCAGCCCGTCATACTCGAGCTCATCTATTTCTTCCACTAAAACTTGCTCGGTATAGTCAGCTGGTACTTCAGGTGCATTCAGTTTATTCTCATTAATGATGCGGTTAGTGGTTAGTGGAATGTCTGGAGTATCCTTTGACTCGCTGCAATAGGTACTCTGAGTATGCGCCTTCGTTTCGCCCCAACATATATGACCTTAATCTATACTTAAACTCTAGAGGACTTGTATGGTTATGAAGACCATCTTTTACCCTAATTACTCCGAAAAAGTTTTCTATCACATCTTGATTAAGACGTCTTGTTAACAGGTATTGGACGCTGAGGCGTCATTTCAGATCCTCTAGAGCATTTTCTAGCAAACCCTAGCGCTTTTTACATTGACTTTGTCTTATCGTTTTGTGAGATGTAGCCATTTTTTTGCTAAAGTTGGGTCTTGAGGAAAATTGTGGAACTTCATGTCTTTGCAAGGATTCCGTTTAGATTGATTGTCGGAATTACATCCCACAACAGCACACCGCATTTTTATCAATTTATCAACCACACAGGGGTATATAAGGTATGTATAATTAATACAACAAGTCACAAAACCACCAACAAATCGCACGATACACGTGAACTGCAGTAACGTTACGACAATCCTGCCGCTGGTAACAACGAGCCATTAACTCTCCGGGTGACGTCACGAAGCTCCGCACACATGCGCAATATCCTATCTTCAGTGTATAATCAAATTCAAGCGAATAACCAAAATTTCTGTGTTATGTGCCGCGGTTATAATATGGATCAAGATGACACACGGGTTGATGATGTCAGTTACACGCAACGATTGAACGCGTTGGTTTTAACCGCGGTTTTGTTGCAAGTTGTTTATTTTATAAAAGCGCGTATATAATCTCTGATTATTTTTATTATCACTTAATAATCGGTGCTTTTTCGTCTACAACGGTGTATGGAAATTTTAAACAAGAAATCTTTCATAATATTCATGGGAGAAATGTTTTTTTTTCAGAAAAAAATTTTGAATGATCGAACTATGGTTTTGTAGCTATGATAACTTTCAATTCTCTAAAGTTTTCCGCATGTCAAAGAAAACATTTATTGATTTAGCAGAAATGACGAAAAAGCGATGAAAAAAGATGTTAGCAAAACCGTATACAGGTGGACATCATCCAGTGAGTTAATATGGCCATATTTCAATATTCTTGTGGTATATGGCTACACAGGATACTTTGTTAAGCATAGAAACTAGATTTAAAGTGTTCCCAACAACAGTAATGAGTATAACTAATAAGGTGCTCCACTTGATGCTAACACTGAAGTCAGCCTGTATCAAGTTTCCCAAAAATGATGCTGAAGTACAATAACAATATCCAATACCCGGCAAAATTCTAACTTGTCACATTTCAAATAATAACAACCAGAAATATAAAACTACCCCTAAGTTGGGTAAATACCACAATTTTGCGGTGATAACTATGACATACAACAGCTGATTCAAGACGTCACGGATCTTATAACCAAACTGATAACCACACTCGCTTGAACGTATCAGTAAATACCAACCCAAAATGGTAAATACCATTTTCATTTGGTTATCCGCTTGAATTTGATTTATGTGTAGTGTATCGTGAAGAGATTCTGGAGTAAAAGGAGAGTTGCTACGCGTGGAAATGCGTATTTTCGTCAATTATCTTATATTTCTTTAATATGGCAACGTCTCGTATGCAAATATCCCTTCCATTCTGCAAATTAAATGTGATGTTGCATCTGTGTTGTTGTTGTATGTTGTATTGTTTTGTGGTGACAACACTGACAACAACTTAACATTTTTTTTGTTAGATAAGCGAAACATTGTTTTTCTGTTAATTTACGGCAATGGCACCAATAGTTCATCGCATTGATTGTGTCTGTTTGTAAAATGATACTTTGCTGCTGCAGGGATGTCTGAGCATAGCCTTAACGTAAGATATCTGCAGTAATATGTAAGTTATTATTAATTTTTCAATTTTAGGATTATACAAGTGATCCAGAAAGCTCTGAAGATGAAATAGAACCAAAATTAAAGTACGTCCGATTATCCAATGATTTAAAAAGTATCTTCCACAAATCTTCTGCAACATGCATAGCTGTACATCCAAAGGTAGGACATTCATTTTTGTAAATTTTAGATAAGTAATCATGTTCTTACATATCTGTATCTCAGAGCCATACTCAAGGCGCTTTCTTTTATTCAGCGTACAGCCCAGGTGGAATCCATCACTGCTGAGTTCTGCTGGTGATGACACCATCTGATGCATTGCCATTGGTGGAGAAATGAAAGAATGCATTGCTGACCTTATTTTTACTGTCAGTTACAAACTATTTCTATATTGCATTAGTAAATTTTGTATTTGCAACTTTGATGTTTGTTCTACAATTTTGAGCAAAAAAAGACAAGACTTTAAAGAGATAACCACGGCTTCATTTCTGCCCATCATCCTTACAGGGGACAATAGTTTGACTTCAGATGAGAGCAAAGATGAAATTTTATTAACAGGATCGCAAGTATTTTGTTAAAAAAGTATATTATGCCTGTTTAGAACCAATTTATAGCTGTCAATGTCCCATCATTTGCCCCACCAACACAAATTCCTGATGGATGGCAATGCCATCACAAATAGATTCATCAGGAATAAATGAACGCCTTTATGGAATCGAATGATGGAAGACAAGGACACTTGATGGGTCTTGATGCCAACAGTGGATTAATCATTAAATAAAAGAAAGTGCCCTGGGCTAAGTCCATTTTTGTCTACAATGAGTTTCATATATTGATGATTATACATATTCTGAATTTTCATTTACTACTTGCAGTGTTGACCTACCAGTAATGATGAGGAAGTTATGACTTTATAAATCTTGTTAAGTATACAATTCAAGAAAAATATTTCAAATGCAATTTTCTCAGAACTACTTATTTGGACTAGTGTAGGTTCTAAACCACAGATATTTTTCTCATGTTTCATAGCTACTTAATGATAATTATCTATCCTAATGTTGAAAATGCAAAAGCACTCCAGTACATAAAAAAGTACACTCAGTATTAATACTTAATAAAACCAGACACATTGAGAAGATAGAAATATAGGACAAGTTCAAATCACATGTAAATTTAACTAAAATGTATAAAAAAAGATGAAATATAATCATTATATGTCACTAAAGTCATTGACTAGAAAGTTTCCAATACAATAAAAAGCAATGTTCAAAAGTCCAACTGACTCGGGCAGAGCATTAAAGAACTTGATACTGTAATACATATTATTACAGTATCTACTGTATAGTTATGAAACCTGAGCTTCCTATCATAGTCATCAAAAATCTTTGAGATAGAGATACTCTATAGAGTTTATATTAATTTACCTGAAGACTAACCAAACCTGAAAATTATGCAACCTCCCAAAACGTATGAGCTATAAATAAATTTCCAATCTATGGGACTGATTGAAGCACAACTAAAAATATCCACAGAGTTTGAACCTCTAATCACTAATGACTCAAAATAATCACTATACTGAAATATGCCTGAGTTTTTGAAACATTAAGATTCTTTCAAAAATGTTCTGGTTTGCTAAAAAACATCACTATCACCAAGAAAATAGCTTGGGAATGTTTCCATTTTTTGCTGTAAGACATACATCTACATATATACCTACATTGCCTTTCTGATTTAAAAATTTACCTATCATATTACTTTCTTTGCCGATAGGATGGGGGGAAATGTTAAACGTTCAAACTTCAGTATTTCACTATATTTGACATGATTTCTATGCTAATAAGAGGATCAGAATTTCTATGCTAACAAGAGTATAGTATATTATATAGTATAGTAAAACAATTAATTCATAAAACTGCTAACATTTGGATCTGATCAACCTAGAAAAAAGATAAGTAATCATATTGGAGTTAGTACTTTTTTATTCCCCCTATTTTGGGCGATCACTATTTCTTGGGTTCTTCATAATTGAAAAGCAAAAAGTATAGTTGCTTCATGCTTGGTTTAACAATAAAGATTTATTATTATTATTATTCCTATCATAAAACTATTATTTACACTTTACAGTACCTATATGTTTAACTTTATGTTATTTTCGCAGTTCATTTGCCTGGGATCTCATTGTGGTTACATCCATATATTGGATCACCAGGGCAACAGTATTCAAGGCAAACAATTGAAGGCACATACTGTCAGCATCAACCATATTTCAATAGATGCTAATGGAGAATTTATAGGTATGTTTGTGGATAAGAAACTAGCAAGCTCTTCTATGGATAAATGAGTAACTATTTATGTTCTTGGAATTTTTCATTATATCTAATTCCTCAATTGTTGTTTGAGCATCTACAGTCAATGGGAGGCTCTGCTACTGTCATTTGTTCTTTGATTGTGGAAGCAAACTATCTCCTGATACACAAAAAGAAAAACTTTGATTAGGATGATGGGTCTACAAAGGTTTTTGCTCTCCAAAACCTTGTTTAAAAAAATATTGTACTATTTTCTACCCTGTTGCTTGAACCTATTTTTTACATTCTGCATAAAAAATTGGTTTGGCAAGTTGTACAACTTTACTTTTACTAGGAAAGCTCAAATGTTAAGATTTACAAAACTTTAGCACATATATTGTTGCTAACCTAAGGGGTTTCTCGATAAAAAAGAGTAGGCGTTGCTATGGATTAAAACTAACTGTAAGTGATGTTTTAGTGTAGTATCTTGAAAGGTCTATATTTACCATTCGGAAATGATATAGCTCAAATATCCGCATCGTTTTCGTACTGTGGCACAGGATCTGGAAGGTCTAATTTTCAATAACTCTGCTGTATGGATCTGGCTGAATTTGGTGAATGTGCGAAATTAGGTTTAGAAGAATCTGCAGACAAGTCTAACGATGTCAGATCGCATGCGTTCTCAGGGAGGGGGTGGTCAAGGGGCGCAACTGTCCCCCGCTCCCCTCTAGCTCAAGAAAAATTGAATGAAGGGAACATTTTTCATCAAAATTAAATTGTTCATGTACAGGGTTCTCCACCAGCTGAATCATTATATTTTTTCTGACTTTATTTTAATAAATATCCAAAAACTACTGCATCTTTTCCATTGGCACGTTTTAGGTACTATATGCTGATGTTTTTAAAGTTTGTGCTCGACGGTTCGTTTTTGAGAAACCATAATCAACAGTATTTTTATATGTTTCGAAAAAAGTACACCCTCTAATACCGTTTTTTCATACGAATTCAAGGATGTATCACATGTTACATTTATTTTCTTGGTTATATTATATCTTTTAATGATTTTTATTTTGTTTAAGTAAGTGTTGCAAATAATTGCTTGACTTAACGTAAATACCTCTTACCGAGTATTGTTATAGTGTATTGTTAATATTGCTGATGAAGAAAAGTTTGACATACTGGCGTGCTACATTTTGTGCTACAAAAATACTAAAAATACTGCAGAAATGTATCTTGATAAATTTCCCGAAAGAAGGCAGCCAAGTAAGTCCATTTACTTATAGTTGGCTCGAAATTTAAATGAATATGCTTCATTCAAGAAGCGTGTTACTTCTCAAAAATAAAAAAAGGAATCACAAACGTGTGAAGATTTTAATTTCCTTCCAAAAATAATATGGTCCGCCGAGAGTATGGCCACTAATATAGTATCTTTAATCACCGTAGCACTCATTACTGGGCTCAAGAAAAAGTATCAGAAATCAAGAACGTTCTGGGTTTGATATGTGTTGTGGAATTCTAGGGTCCAAAATATTAGGTCCATTTATTTACAACTCGTTATCTTCAGCACGGTACATTCAATTGTTGTTGCAATACGATCTAGAATACTGCCTGGATAATTTACCTTTGGCACAGGTTAATAACTGTTGATTTCAATAAGACTGTAAGTATCTTCCTTAGTATTTCCCGGAAGGTGGATTGGAACCTCCAGCGAAGTGTCCTGGCCAGCGCGTTCCCCGGATTTAACTCCTCTGGACTTTTTTGTTTGGGGGTTTTATTGAAAACCAAATTTATCAGCATACCTTTGAAACTGAGCAGTAGTACGAGAATGTGGAATGGAAGCATTGAGTATGATTACACCAGATTTATTTGAAATCTACTGTTAGAAGATCATATTTATGTTAGGAACATAATGACAACCTATATGAACACCTATTGTGAATAAAATAATTCATCATCATCATTTTATATAAATCATCATTTCATTATAAATAATATGTAATACTAGCGCAGTTTTGGCATGCTAATGCAATGTTCTAAACAATATACTCAGTTTTATCTTTATCTGTATCTCTATCTGTGACTTGGGGCCGTATCGACAGTCGTTCCTACAATTGTAGGACTAACTCATGGCCTCCTTGATTGGCGTTTTCACTCCTGCAGAATATTCTAGATTTGACCTGTTCCGTGCAGCGTCAGTGCTCTCCTATTGTAAAGTTATATTTCCTTTTTGAATTGCAGGAAATTTCAGGCTGATAAAACAGATGATATAAATCAAAGGCATGAACAATTTGATGCAAGTAGATATTTGTGATATAACCTCAAAGTAGACTGCTGACACGGACAAGTAGAAAACTAGGACAATCAAGGAGGCCATTAAGACGTCCTACAATTGTAGGAACGACTGGCAATAGGGCCCTTAGTCTTTATCTATATTTTATTTCTTATCTTTTATCTACCTTTTATCTTTAATTTTTGGCAGTTGTTGGCATGCTAATGCAATGCTCATAACTGTATACATTATCTGTATCCATCTTTATCTTTGTCTTTATCTTTATTTCAGTCTTTATCTCTATCCTTATCATGTTTATATTTTTGTCATTTTATCTTTATTGTTTTGTCTTGTTATATCTCTATCTGTATATCTTTTTTCCTTTTATCTATTTATTTTTGGCTTTTTATCAATTTTGTCAATTTATATCTTTTTATTTATATCGTTTTATCTTTATCGTTTCATCTTTATCTTGCAATGAGTCATCTCTGCGGGAGCTACTGGATTGACGACACCATTACGTTCCTTTCCATATCACTGATCATTTTCAGAAAAAAATTGTGGTGGTTGAAATTCGGGGAGGTCATAGAAGGTCGTGGAGGGTATATGAAAAATTTTTGAACTTAGTATATTTAAACGCTCCCAACCCCGGTAATTCTGCGCACCTGTTAGCCTTATCCTACACATCATAGATTTCCCTGTATACTTACCCTTAAAACTTACTAGAATCATGTTCTCGAACCGCGTACTCCTGCTGTCTAAGCTTACCGCTGTAACAGAAACTTCGTCCGAGACTCCTGGACCTCTCAACTTCGTGCCTTGACTTCATACTTCGGATCCTCAGTCCAACACTTCAATTTCTATATTGGTCCGAGACTACTCGAATTTCCAATTCTGTTACATTTTACTTGTCTTCCTATAGGAGGTTCATCGCATCGGAAACAAAAAAGCGAAAGAATTTGAAACGCTGATTACGATGTTTTTATCATTCTAGATATAATTATTTAATTTGCTTGAAAAATATCGCTAAAAATATTCTAAGCCTCTTTTGCATCTTGCAAATCATCTGAAAGAAAAACAAACTTACTAATTATGGAGTATTATTTTTGTTTGAGAGAAATATTCTCCCGAATTGCTCTAGAAAGTGAATATAAGATGTAGGGGAACAATATTGGTGCTGAGCACTGATGAGTTAGTTACTCCGGGTAGCTCAACTGGGTCACTGAAAAGCAGCTCATTAATGCATCTAACAGGTTCAGATTCAGATTCATTTATTGATCCAGTTAGATCTACATTGTAGACATTGGATAAGTCGGTGTATACAGATTAAAATATAGATAAAAGGAAGTAAAATACAAATAACAATATAATAAATAAGAACATAAAAAAACCATATGATACACACATGGCAATAAATTATTTGTTAAGATCTATCAGAAGCACTGTGGAATGTGACAAATTCACCTAGGTCATAAAAACCGCAGTCCGATAGCTTGTTCCGCAAACGTCTTTTGAAAAGCCCTACGGAGTTTACGTTTTTGATCTCCGGAGGTAATAAATTAAAAAAGTATATTCCTGCTGTTATGGGAGATTTTGAATGAAACGTATGATATGACACATGCCTAACTATATTATTTTTATTACGAGTGCTGTAGTCATGGATGTCAGTATGCTTAAGATAATCATTTCTGTGCTGAAAAATACAGGGTGACTTCGAAGTTGAGTCATTTATTTTAACAGTGAGTAGATCTGATCAAAAGAAATGTTTTTTTCCTTTACCATTTTTCTGGTAAAATTAAACAAAGTTATAGCCCTTTGGAAGTTTGAGTACCGCCCTGTCTCAATAATAATATTATGTGCTCGTGTTTGGCAACAACGGATATAATCCGCCTTATCGGTTCATCGCATCGGAAACAAAAAAGCGAAAGAATTTGGAACGATGTTTTTACAATTATTTTATTCAGTTGTATACAGTCAGTGTCAGTCGGTAACGCGTGAGTGAATAGTGGTGTCTGTTGCGTGGCTCAAACGAAATCAAAAATAGCACATGTTTACGAAAATGCTGAACTTGTGGACATGATTCTTATTTACGCGACATCACGGATTTATGCGGATCGGTTTCCCAATCGAGTGCAACCAACCCCTCGTGCCTTTGTTAATGTAGTACAAATGGCTCGTGAATCAGGTGACTTAAGACCTCACAGGGGAGAGCATGCCGGTGCTCCAAGACCGCACGATCAAATACAGGTCCGCACTGAAATACTTGTCGGGAGGATACTTTATAAAACAAGGTAACATTTTTTTTAATTTTTTTTTATTTTTACACACATATTTTGGTTTATCTTCCTTCTACAATCATTATCTAAAATTAATGACTCAACTTCAAAGCACTCATTAAAACTGAAGTAGCGATGTCAATGAAAGGTTAACTTCGTAAAACTAATGGGTTGGAGAAAGGATCCCTGAAGGACTGAATTACGATTAAGTTGAAAGGAACGGTGACAACTTAATTTACAACATCTTTAAGTTTGAATTTAATAGCAAAAATTAATAAACTTGATAACCTCAACTTAACAATGCTAATTAATCAAGGTAACGTGTAGAATTTTTTTGAAGTAACTAAAAGTGCTTACCGATTTGAAGACAACTTCGCCAACACAACACATCAACAACAATTCAAAGATAAGGGAAAAACTGAAGTTTTATAGATTCGAAATTATAGGAGGTCAGTTGCGGATTTTCCCCTCCATCAGAAGGCTGGTCGTTCTTACTTAGTGAGTTCAACCCTTGTTTACTCATTGGTCTCCCACCTTATAACCCTATGGCCGTCTGATTTTCTAAAGATGGAAACTAATTTGATCAATGATTGTTAGACTTAATTTCTGAACTCAAAATGGCCTTAAACATTATTGGCTAATTACGTTCTCTTGTCCCACCTCAAGGAGTGTCGTCAGCGTACAGTTTATGCAACACGTTCAGTAGCGTCTCATGACTCGTTGCTCGGGTTATGAACTTTATAGTTATAGCAAACGAAAGGATAGATTTCCAAACAATGTTTTTGTCCCGTCTTATTCGAAAGGTCCAACTTTATTGCATCCGGCCCTATTGTGTATTTTCTATAATTATCAGTTTGGTTTATATCTTCCCTTGGCGTTCGCTGGGTAGTTTGCAGATGTTGAGTGTTTGTTCTGTCCTTAGTTTTTATGTTTATTTCGATTTTATGGATACAACGAATTTTCACAAGGGTAGGCGACATGAATTATTTCAACGAATTTAGAAATTGATCTTGATCGGCTACACCGCCCGGCGAACTGGTCGGGCTGATAATCTATCCATACTGCTGCGCAAAAAACATACATACATACATATACGGGCCATGCACGAAATGTATGATAACTCGCTGAAGCGATGCCGCGCAGATGTGCAAGAGGACAACGTTGCCAGATGGACACTTAACTACCCTTAGAGCAGGAAAATAATGTCTATGGACTAATTGTATGAGCCTGTTTGACTGACTTAATCCGTTTACATTTGCCTGTTGTACAGTCTGCAAAAACCAAAAGTTCGTCGATTTTGCCCTATCAGACAAGGTTAAGAAATACTCTTTGGGATCTTGTAAGGCAAGGTATAAACTGTAATTCAGATAATTGGCGACCTCAAAAATTATAATTTTTAACCGATATTTAAGCCTTGAATATACCCATTTTTAGGGCATTTCAAATTCAATCGCTTATAACCCGAAAATGGGTCAGCTTTAGAGAAGTGTTAATGGAGGCCTTTTTTATTTGGAATGATCCAAAAAAAAAAACTGGAAAAACCCGTCTGGGGCAAAAAATTCTAGTTTATTAAAAAAATGTTTAAACAAATTTGATCTGGGTTTCCCTGCTTAAATGCTTAAAAACTCGACTAAAAACCATAATTATTAAGTAGTTATCAAGTATATAAATTAAAGACCTTGAAGAGGATTTTGAGATTGGTTTATTTTAAAGCGATTTTAACCTTGTTTTTCGGGCCAAAATTGGTGAACTTTTGGTTTTTGCAGCTTGAGCATGTTTGCAACTGACTTTCTTCTCGGATTAATGTTGGTGTTGGCGCAAAATCGTCAGGTACATTGCCACCATGGTTATTTAAGATTAGATCTTTCGGATTTGTGGCACTGTGTGCAGTCTCACATTTGAACGATGTCATAACTTATACATGATTGTATGATGGGACTTTAAATAAAAAAAGTAAATCAGTCAATGCATCATAATATACAGATTGTCTTATTTCACTTCAATATACATGTGCCTTTACTGGAAAACAGTTTACTAAGTGTCGAATCGTCAGTCGTTCCTACAATTCTAGGATGCCTTTATGGCCTCCTTGATTTTCGTAGTCTTTTCTCTCCTCCAGAAAGGCTGGGGTATTTCTAGATTTCTACTGTTCCGTGTCAGCATCAGTGCTCTCCTATTGTAAAGTTATGTTTTCTTTTTGAATTGTAGGAAATTTCAGGTTGATAAAACAGATGATATAAATCAAAAGCATGGACAATTTCAAGGAAATAGATATTTGTGACATAACCTCAAAATAGAGCGCTGACGCAGAACAGTAGAAAACTATGAAAATGAAGGTTGCTCTAAAGACGTCTCACAATTGTAGGAACGACTGACGATACGGCTCTTAGTTTCTGTTCTGACTAAATGCTTTTTGTATCTTTAGCAACATGTTCAGATGATGGTCGGGTATTTGTACATAGCTTGTTCTCCAAGGAAAATAACTTAACCCTCAACCTGGGAAGGTTAGTCAAAACAATTGCCCTTGATCCCTGTTATTACAAGGGCGGAGCTAATAGAAGATTCATTACAGGTATTTTCTATTTATTTATTTATTAGTATACAGTCTTACCAAGTTTGAGTAAATCTTTTGAGAAGGGATTCAAACACCTAAATATCTAGATGATTATAAATATTTTTTTATGTAGAATGAAATGTTATTACAAAACTGTAATATTTGCACTGCTTTTTGTAGTTTTCAACATATTTTCACTTCTGGCTGATAAATCCACATTTTATACACACAATGAGATTAATATTCAGTGGAGTATTCTATACCCAAATAGCACAACTATATCTTGAAGACGTTTCAAAAACTTCATTTTGAGATATTTGAGACGTCGTAAAGACGCATGTGAACTCTGTACGATATCTTGAAGACGTTGTAAAGACGATGTTTGTTACAAAAACTGTGCATTTTAAAGACGACTTTATCATACGTTCGTCAGGTCATAAAATAAAAAACATGCGAGTTATTAAAAAAAGTGTTTTTATAAAAAAAATATATTTTTTTGTGTTATCAAACGTTTTCTGTGTGGCTGTCCGGCGATCTGAAGCTCGCCTCAGCCAAGCTCCGACTGTCTCGACCTCATGGTGGCTCTGGCATACACCAACCCTTTCAGCATACACTGAAATAAATAAGTAGGCACAGGTTTCTTCGATAAACTTTTTAAAATTGTAATCCAAAATTACCTTGCAAATTTTACATTCTTAAAGACGCCGGTAGCATCTTGCTCGAATTAGACGACATTCAGGGCCTACACTTACCTGTTAAGACACAGAACACATTTTTCTAATGTTAACAAATGCCAGGGGAGAGCACGATTGCCAATTTACTTCTTTTTTCTTCAATCGATCTACCGTCATGTGGTGGAGAATTGTAGAGTTAAAACAGGATGATGCAATAAATTTTGAAGTTTAAAAGATTCCAGAACAATACAATGGTGTTTATCGAGAAATAAAGATATCTGAAAACTTCAACGGCTTGTCCTTTCGCATAGTTTAAAATAATGAAATTTGTTAAAAAAAATATATGAATAAAAAAGTCACACAATATATCAATCGTGGTTGGGTAAACGAAAAAATATATGTTACTTTAAAGTTTAGTTAGATGTTTTGGAATGAGGTTTTTTATATGTTCACTAATATTTCTATCTTAAGAAGCTGAATTCTAAAAAGTGTAAAAGACATAAGAAAGCTTCTTAAATATGTTTGTTTTAGGTCATGTCAGGATGTTCTTAAAAACGACTCACATCTTAAAGACGTTCTGTGCTCTCTGGTTATTTAGACAAAATTGCATTTTTGAACAGCTGATACAGAACGTCTACATCCATTTATTTCATTTTTATTCACTACGTCATTTAGCCAGAAAGTATTGTGATCGCAAACAATTTTGAAAAACGTATATCACGAAAAAACCGTGTGACTCATTCTCGTCGGTGTCTGTCCGCTAATTGTAGGCCCGCTTTTAACTTGTAAAGTACCACACAGATTTTGGTGAAATTTTGACACAAGATTACTGGTATGTCAAGCAGCTGCGTAGCTAAAAGGAGAGAACAAAATAATAAAAATCGCTCAGACTTATAGTTCATGTGGCGTTAGGTTTGGAAATAAACCGAACTTAAACTAATTGATGATATTGCGTGGGAAGTTCAGAGTACAAATATGTAACGTCATTTTTTCTTGTAAGTCGGAGTACACAATTATACCACCTGGTAGTCAGTAAGACTTTGTACACTGTACTCCTTTCCCCCTTGCAATTGATTTTTTTGCCCATAGGTGACAACAACTTGACATTGTACGAACGCACATTTCTGGGTAACTTAAAGCCAGTAGTTCTGTGTGAAAGTGAAGGGTTGGTGCGTAGTATGTGCTGGACATCTAATGGAAACTTTTTGGCGTGGTCAAGCAACGTAGGAGTGCGAGTTTATGACATCAATTCTAGATGCTCCTTGGGACTCATCAAGTGGGAAGAACATTCTGGGTGAGTAACTCAGGTGAAGTGTATCCTTACTATTGTATAAAATACTACTAGTAGGATGGATTGATATAGCTCTCGTGACTACAAATATTTCTTATTAAATGAATACCATATACAAGAGCATTGTCTTCACTACTCACCCATGAAATCACCATTGTGCGATACGTAACTTTGAGTATGACTCCTCATGTAGTTTTTCACCTTGAGTACCCCAATAATCGGCATAATGTTTGAAACCGGCTTTTAATGTTAACAAAAAAAAAACATTTGCACCTTACTCCCCTTGGATGGACCAGTACCATACCAAATCGGCTGTTTGTTGCATTCAGTAGTTTTAGTTTGACACCAGGTAACTAGATATTTTCAAGTATTCGTAAAATGAGTTTGAAATGTCATGATCGTGATGTAAAATCGAATATTTTATGATATATTTATAGTGTTAGTAGTTAAAAAAATTGTATGCATACCTCGTATATTATTTCCTTCAGCGTTACGCGACTCAGGTTATAAAAGTGCTCTCCCACTTCTCAAATACGTAATGCACTATTTTCTGTCTAAAAATACAAATTACATTTTCAAGTGTAATTCCTTCTTTAAAGATTTCTGACTACTTCGAATTGCACTAGGCAAGTGGTTAAATTCGTGTAGACCTTTATGGAAAATGGAATTGTAACTTTTAAGATAATGATAAGAATTCCAATAAAAATCAAATGTTTATACAATTTATAGTATATGGATGATACATGTTAGCTCATTAAGACATTCAGGTAACAATGTATTCTTATTTTTAATTTTGTAAACAAATATCATTGCAAGGTACTCAATGAAATGTCTAACATCTAGCCCATTTACCTGATCTAACAAATTGTATATTTTTCTTACCCTTTATTTAATAATATAAGCGTGCATGTATTTTATTGTATTCAGACTATCAATTAATGAGGAATTTGCTGTAAATAAAATTCTAGAACACTATCAGGCATAGGAATTGAAGCAAAATGATTTTATTGTAAAACGAAGATCCAGTGTCATAACTGATGAGACAAGTGGATAAAGGTGCCATTTTTGCATTAAACTAACCTTAAGGAATGATTATTTCATTTTGTGGTTACTTTTTTGCAAAAACAAGATAATTACTAACTAATTAAACCAAATATTTAAAATCTCAATAAAGTAAAAAGTCCCAATAAAAATATTTAAAGTCAATTTTTTCCATACAATGATTTTGTTACATGACACCTTTATCCACTTGTGTCTTCATTTGTACAATAATTACACTCTGCATTTCTTCCTCGCAATGCCTTGATCACCAAGATACATTTTTGTTTTCATAGATTTAAAAATTCTAGAAATTCGGTCTTTTCAGTTATTTCATAGGAAAAATCGTACGAATTGTGTGTAATTTCAGTACCATTATTATTTTTTGAAATAATCGTTTGGCACCATCAAGACGGTAATCCTTTTACAAAAAATAATTAAAGCTGATTTTTTCTATATTACAAAAAATAATTACAACTGATTTTTTCTATATTGTTCCCAGTGAAGGTACAACATTCGGGATTAATATCTTCGTTTCAATATTCGCTATGAACTACCATCAACTTTCATGTTGTACCAGAGAACTGAAAGTTTAAACTAAGATTGCAGGAAAAATATTTATCATAGATACACCTTTATCAAAGTGATTGCTTGCTATCGGAGTAACACGCGACAACATGAACAGTGTTATACAGCATGTCTCTTTTTAGTAGACTATATTCACTTGTTTGCTCGTCTGTTTCCAAAACTAGATCCATACAGTACTAGTGATTGCTAAGAAGCATGAAAGACCGTTGTATATGGTTGGCCATGGTCACAGAGTGGAAAAGCGAATAGATCCAGTTCACCCTGCAATTTAGCTATTTGGCCAGATAAATACTTTTAAACTCTAAATATTTTTAATGTTAAGGGAATTGAAAATTGAAGATCTTAAGCGTCCTTTTTGAGCGTAAAATAGTACACTATCATTTGAAACTGAAATTGTACTGCTTTTCCAATGGAGTCAAAAAATAAGGTTGATGATTTCAGACGTAGTTCCATAATGGTTTAATCTGATCAGTGGTTGTCCCAGGAATTCAATTCAAATAAGGGATCGATTAATTAATAAAAAATGTGTCTTTCAGGATGTCGACAGAAAGGTTTAGGTGCAATTTGAGGTGGGCTGATGAGAAAACTCTTTTAATTGGCTGGGTGGATACTGTGAGGGTTTGTATTATAAGAAAAAGAAGTGCTATTGAGCTGGCAAACAGAGATTTACCAGAATATTTAGTAGACCCTGTGTCAACTGTCCAGACTGAGTTTTTCATCAGCGGCATCGCACCTTTAGGTAATTAACATGATTCTTAAATATCCTATGACCAGTCGTTTCATGCGTGACTGAATATTTTTTCAACAGGTGATAAAATCATATAGTAATTCCAATTATAATGAAGCCAGTAGTGCTTTATTTGCACAACTAATAAATTGTGATTAAAATTTACTCAAGTACGCTTGTAGTACCGGTAAATCGCACCCGGTGCTAGAAACTTTCATGTACTTTTAGAATTGAAATACATACTATTTGCATGAAATTTGTAAAAGTGCTTGTTTTCACTTCTCATATGCTGAAATAATTGTGCTTAGTACTCATAAGTAGCTTGGAGTAGTATGCTGCATGAAGATGTCGATTAATATACAGGTGTCAAAAAGATCTTCCTGACAAGCCATAGCCTAAATATCATAATCACCAGTTACCTTTGGTTAATGTAGCTCCTGAAACATAACCTCTGCTTTAGGCACTAGGGGATCGAAACCTGGATCTTATGAACTCGATCCCCACTAGTGTCAGATTTGTTTCATCCCTAATGCATATTTATATTTTTAGATCAGCAATTAGTTTTATTGGGCATACCCAAAGTCCCTGAAGCTGAGGATTCTCAATCGCCCCGACCCCAACTCTACATAGTGGAATATAGGGACAATGATTGTGTTGATGTGTGTGCTGACAGTTTGTCTTTACGTGACTACCAGGTAAATTAATCTGCAGTAATAAGGACAATCCCTCCATACAAATTAGTTTGTCATTTGGCTTGAATACAGGCTGAATCTTTAGTTTGTAATCGGGCTATACCTCCAATATTTTAAAAGATATCTATCGTTCTTTCTACGGTTTTTTGGCCCTTATTACCCAATGTCATACGACACAAACAGATTGACTAACTGTATCCAAAGGGAAATTGCTCACTTAACAGGTCGATACTTGACGCGTCTGCTTCTCGCTCTTGCACACACACATAAATTAGATTATAGAGGACCGTTGTTTTCATTCACTTTCCCAAAATTCTCCAATAAATTTAACACAGATTGTCGACATCGTAGTTGAACCTTCAGGCATTGCTGTTCTACATCGAATATCAACAAAAACTAAACCCAGACAATACGTCCATGCCAAGCAAATTGCCATACCGACAGTGACAAGTATAAATACCAAAAACTCATACGTTGAAAAAACTAAGAACTTCTGTCTGCGAGCTTACGAAACAAATATTACGCATAGATTGCTATCGCACATGTATGTGTAAAGATTATGAATGTATGCAAGTAATTCCTAGAAGTTTTGCTGTGACCCGCAAAAAACGGTGAAAATAGGTTATAAAAATTATAGGCAACTATACGCCTCCTATTTGGAAAATACGCTGCTCTCTACAGGGTGATTCATATAACTTCGTCGTAACACAAGCATGATACTTTTGGATGGAATATCCTATATATACTAAGTGACATATAAATCCGAACACCCAGTTTAAATGGTTTTATTTTAATAAAATTTTGCATAAGTACTTAATGAAGCATAATAAGTAAATGATAAAAATTTCAAAATGATTGCACTGCTTTAAAGCCCTTTGACCGTTAATAATGTGTGGATGCACCCTGATGTGCTACTCATTCTCCAACGCGCCTAGGCATGCTTCTGATCAGGTGGCCAATGTCCTCCTGTGGTATCTCACGCCAGGCAACCACCAACTCCTCTCGAAGTGCGTATAGAGTCTGAGGAGGACGTTGCAAATTGAGCAATCTCCTACCCATCATATCCGACACGTGCTCAATTGGGGATAAGTCGGCAGATCTTGGTGGCCATGGTAACAATGTGACATCATTATGTTGAAAGAAGTCTATTGTGACTCTTGCAACATGTTGTCGGGCATTATCTTGTTGGAAAGTTGGATCTGCCAGGGTGTCAAGATAGGGTAAAAGATGGGGTTCTAGAACTTCGTGGATATAACGCTGCGCGTTCATGTTACCTCTGATGAAGATTAAAGGTGACCTGGAACCATAAGCTATAGCACCCCAAACCATAACTTCAACAGTGTGATGAACATGTCTTTCAACAAAAAACTGTGGATTCCTCCTTTCACCACGTCGCCTTCTAACCCTGGCACGACCATCGTGCATGCCTAAACAAAATCGAGACTCGTCATGAAAGAGAATACTGTTCCATTCCTGATCCCAGAGTGACCATTGTCTGAACCACTCAAGGTTAAGTTAAAGGGAGGACCCAGTGTGGCCGGTATGAAAACAAGCCAAAACTTCTCATTCGTCGGTAAACACTTCGCATGCCAATAGGTCTTCCGTGTTCTGCAAACCGTTCATTTGCAATGGACCTGGTAGTGGAGAAACGGTCCCTTAAGGCCAATAATCTTAGGCGGCGATCTTCACGGTCTGTTGTTCTACAGCGGCGTCCAGTGCCCCTTGCTCTTTGCGTACGGCCTTCTCGAAGCCATGCCTGACAACACCTAACCACAGTGTCTACACTTCTTTGCACTCTAACTGCAATTGCCCGAAAAGAAAGTCCAGCTTCCCGAAGTCCCACTATACGGCCCCTATCAAACTCACTAACTTGACGAAATCAAATTTCGAGTTATTTGCAGTTTTCCAGAAATTGCAGATATAGTATAAGATCTTAGGGCTGCCAGACATTACTTTTTTGAATGCAAAACTTGAGGCATTCAGTACATCCGATTTACACATACCAGGTGAGAAAGGTGAGTACCAATAAGACCAACTTTGCCTAAACTCTCATGACTGATTTTTATATACACTTTGTAAAACATTAATTACAAAGTAAAAAGTAATATTCAAACTTCAGCCAGGCGTCTTGAAGCACCCAAAAAAATAGTTGAACTTTACTTACTTTCTCAGGCTTGATTTGTATATGTGATATTTAGAGGAAAATTTTAAAACTATGTTTGCTTAGTCAGACAAATCAAGGGGGCCCAAAACTCCGTCAGACAAAAAAAAATCAGTAAAGAAGAAGAAAAATTCATACAAAACGCGGCAATTAGGTTGACCTGCACTTCCTATTCAACACTATCATCATTTCATAAAGGATAATATTCAGCACAAGTTAGACCCAATGAGAAAAGAGTTAGTTACGAATATGTATAAGAGAAAAATTGAACGGATCAAGTTAGTGGAACAGGTCCATACTAAGTCCATATATATTCGTTCTAGTATAAGATCCCAGGGCTGCCAGACATTACTTATTTTCTCAAAGACAAAACATGGGACATTCAGTAGCATTTATATTGTCCCATTAGAGCAGAACTATACCATGTCAAAAACAACAATTGCACCAACCAACAAGTGCGACAGCGATCGGTCGGAAAATGTAACGAACACTATTACGCAATACAAATTGTCACAGCCTGCGTGTACGCAAGTGAAAACCATTTCGAAGGCACTCCCCGATGAGCGCTAGATGGGTATCAACCGTATTCGCCTATCTATGATAATGGAGGTGGAAACCTTGCATATTAATATACGAGATGCGGTGTTGCCAAGCGGAGCAATGATGCAATGCTGCAGATTTTGTGGCGAACCTGCCGTTTTATTTCGACCTAAACTGGAGCACCGTTAGGAGCGAGCCGAAATCAATCCAAATTATTTGGGCGTAGAGAATAAACTAACGTATACTTTCAACATCTTAATTCAAGGAACAGGTGTAACATATTGGCAATGCGGCACATTCTCGCGTCAGTGTTGCTAGGAAACGCGGTGATGAGCTTCGCTATGCAGCCGGCTTCTATCTCTTTTCGAACATATGTGTCTATACATACTTCTCTCTCGTACACATTGAACTCAAGCCGTCAGACAAATTTGGTTCTCAGTGTATAGAAATCAACAATGAGAATTTAAGTGAAATTAGTCTCATTTTCACCAGCCTTTCTTACGTTTTGTCCATAAATCATTGTCTAACTTTTATCTTTGGGAAAATAAGTAATGACTGGCAGTTTGGGATCTTACTCTAATGAATATCTACCGCATGATTCGTGGAAAGGAAGGATTTTTAGTGGATGGGGGTAATTTTAATACCCATCCACTAACAATCATTCCTTTCGTCGAATCGTGTGATATTTATTTTGAATTTTAACTTCTGGAAAACTGTAAAAACTCAACAATTTAGTAACCCCTTCAAAATTTTACACCAAAGCTAATCTAATGAAAACGATAATCCAAAGCCGTAAAAATGTAAAGATATTCCATGTGAAAATTTCGAGGAAACGCACGGTTTGTGTTTATACACTCTGTATACAGAGTGTAAAGTTAGTAGTGGATCAACGGGTCAGGTGATAGAGGGCCTCAATACCTATTGATTGAACCCCTATATGTGTGGTCCGAAATTTTATAGTTCAGGGATAATGAACTTTCAATCGCCATTACAACTAAACCATTAGGCTTAGGGCTGTGATTTTATTTTTGAGATGAGCTAAATGGTTAGTTTTAGCAATGGTTATGTCACTTTTTAACAGAGCTTATTAGAAATCAACGCAAACAATCTCAAATTCATTTTTTTGTGAAATATTTTCCACCACTCAACTTTGGAGGGCGCTAAAAAAATTGAGGTTGTATTTCATTATTCATTTTATTGTAAAAACTATTTCAATTCGTGTATGATAAACCCTGAATATTTCAGCTTGCTACGATGAGTGTATCATGTCACATTCGTTGTTGTGATGCGATAAACGCAAGAAACACAATATAATCCTTACCACCTACAAGTACAGAACCTATTGTGTTTAGCCGCTCTGTATGGCGATTTACCGACAAGTGTGGATGATAGTTTAATTTAACTAACTTTTAAAGAACATGTTCGAAATTATTTTCTACACACCTTCCATAAAATTTTCCTTTAGTCTTTGAAATGAATTTGCGTTTTCCATAATTTTTATTTTTGCTTCATCAATTTTCTGGAGCAGTTGGTTGACATTTGTATATTCAGATGTATAGATTATCCCCTTATAAAACCCCCATATAAAATCTAGATGATATAAATCGGGAACCTTTGAGGCCATTGTATGTGTCCACCTCTACCTGTCCAACTCACAGGAAAGACACTGTCTAAGTAAAGCGGTACATTCCGTGCAAAGTGGCATGGGGCACCATCGCATTGAAAATACATGCAAACTGCTTTGTAGAAAAGCACGATATGACTGACCACTCAACCTGGCGGGCAATTCATACGGTCCAATTATTTTTTTGTTGAGTACTCCATCCCATAAATTAACGCCGAACTGACGTTGAAATCTGTGTCGGCGTAAAGCGTGTGGATTTTCCACGCTCCATGAATGGAAATTGTGCATGTTGAATATTCCATTCCGGTTAAAGTTGGATTGATCTGTCTATAAGAAGCTGTCGAAAAAAGTTTCATCCTCTTCGCGCCTTCTCAACATATTCTCATAAAATTCAATCCGTTGTGCATAGCCGCTTGGAAGCAATTCTTGTACTTTTTGTATATGTTAAGGATGCAGGTTCTCCGAGCGTAGTATTGTGTGCACTGAAGTATGGGATGTTTCTGCTTCAGGCAATGGTTCTGATGCTTATAGAGGGATCTCTCTAGGCTGCTTCTATTATATCTTCTATTTCTTCTGTGCGTATCCTCGGCGCTCTTAGCTGACGATGAGTGCCTAGTATGCGGCCCTCCATATACGTATTACTGACGCGTAGAAAAACGCGGTAGTCGGGATATCCCGCCGATTGTGGTCCACCTCTTCTAACCACATACTCCCGATACATTCGAGCAGCTGCTCGAGCATTTCCTAGGCCAGCACCATAATAGTAATGCATTTCTGCATAATCTCGCGGAGAATATGACATGATTCTACTCAGATGCCAAACATTAGATACACATTCCGCGCTGGACCATCGCCTGACATAGTAAGTTCGGTCGGACCGAAGTTTGTACGCTCCCGCACCTGGAATGCCGAGTTGAATGCTCAAGCTCATTAAGCTGATTTGGCTATTTGCGTAAAAAATCCGCCATTTTGATTTTACATGTTAATACACACATTATCACTCGCACTGCTAGGACGAATCTAATAGCACCTCATATTCAAAATCCACCGAGTCGTTTGAACTGTAGCTCGTAAAATAGAATTTCTTGTTTACGTGTATACATACCCACCTGCGTCAAACATACAGATTTTTTAAGGTGAGGCACTTATCGGAACAAGCTGAGATTTTCAGGGTTTATTATACATGGGTTGAGATAGTTTTTACAATAAAATGAATAATGAAATACAACCTCAATTTTTTTTACCGCCCTCCAAAGTTGAGGGATGGAAGAGATTTTTCACAAAAAAATTAATCGAATATTTTTTGCGTTGATTTCTAATAAGTTCTGTTAAAAAGTGACATAACCATTGCTAACGATTTAGCTCATCTCAGAAAGTCACAGCCCTAAACCTGACGGTTTAGTTGTAATTCCGATTGAAACTTCATTATCCCGTTTTTTTTTAGAAATTTCACAATATTGCAAATATCTCCTGAACTATAAAATTTCGGACCACACATATAGGGGTTCATTCGATAGGTTTTGAGGTCCTCTATCACCTGACTCCCGTTGATCCACTACTAACTTTACACCCTGTATATGATGCACATGATTTAAAAAAACGTTTAAATCACGGGAAACTATTCTATTTTAGGGAAAAGTTTGCTACTCTATCTGCATAAGTGATAGACTTACTATCAGAGTTGACTTAGTTTTCGGACACAGTATTAAATGACTCCAGAAGTAGCTACGTAGTTATGTCACCCTGTTGCAAGGGGCATATTTCCCTAATAAGTAGCATATACATATTTGCCTATAATTCTTGTAAATATCCTTTAGGAAATCCTTTATAGAGGTGGCCCATATGTAACTGACTGGTTTGTACTGAATATTTGTGAAATGAAACGAAATACGTCCATTTTCTCATCTTAATCTTTTATTGAAACTTAGAAATTATGTTTGAAAAATAATATCAGACAAATGTCCGCATCTAGAAGCCGCGACTTACGGAAGTACGACTCCGAAATAAGTTTTTAAAAAACTTTTATTTTCAAAACGTACAAAATTGATGTGAAACGGACCGAGAAATAGCTAGAACTGAATACAATGCAAATTACGGTATATTTATAAACTCTGTAAAAAGTGCAAGCTATGTGAAATGCAATTCTACAATTATGCATATCTGGTGTCTGTAACTCCTCCCGCCGTAGAAACTGAACCAACGGTGACGTTTGAAAGTTTTCGTTCTTCTTGGATAATTTCTGTCTTCTTTCTCTTTAACGTTTATCTTCTATAACTTATCTTCTATCTTTATCGTTCTTAGCTTCAAACAATAATTTCGGTTTTTCTATTTTCTTTCTTCTTTTCGGCTTGTTTTCTTTTAAAGTAAGATTTAACAGTGAGGTAGCCACAGATGATGGCAATTAGGGAATACAGTAAGATGGTCCAGATGCTTACTGATTGGAGATCAATAATTGGATTATCGGGGATTTCTTGGAGTCTGTGCTTGTTCAAATCCAGGGCGGCTCTAATGTTGTTCGTTTCTTCGAAGTTAATGGATTCTAGTTGAAGAGGTTCCAAATGGGCAGTCTGCGTTTTCTTGAATCCTTCAAAAACTAGCTTTGGTAGTGCAATATACTTAAACTGTGATTTTGGGTTCCGGCGACTTTTTATAACAGTTGAACCCATATAGACTTCGCAGTTTTGGCAATTTTCTAGTAGATATGTTCCTCGAAGTGGAATTTTGTCTTGGTTTTCACCACACCTATATGTGACAATTTTTCTGTTGGGAATAACTAACATCCAGTTTTCTGCATCTAGCTTTTTGACTTTTTCTTGTTGTACTTGTATCGGCATTTGAAAACAGTTAGTAATATTCTTTTCATACAGTAACATTTGAACTTCACATGGATTTCCTTTGCTTAGCTTTACTGGATTCTTCTCGTGGCAAACATATTGTTCAGGCTGAATTTCTTTGCAGTTTTTGTCAAAAAGGCTATAAGCGTGCTCATTTAGGATTAGGTAGTTTGAGTAAGGAAATATGACTTTAAATTGATTGGATGTCGTCGTAGGTAATGGGTATAGGTGATAATAATTATATCTATCGACCTCTACTAAAGGAATTTCCAGAATGAAAATAACTTGATTGCCTTTACTATAACTTTTGATTTCTAATATTTTCTCAAAAAGCAGAATGTTTTCTAAAGCAGGTTCAAATGGTAGTTTGACATTATGTAAATGTTCTGAGATAAGCTTTATTTCTACTAGAAGGTCTTGAGGTTTCAATATAGAATTATGCAATGTATTAAGTTTTGCAAAAGATATTGCAACCTCTAATTTTTCTAAATCATCGTGGATATATCGAAATGAAGTTAATATTTGTGAAATTACAATTTGTATAAAAAGTTCGTTTTCTAAGTGTAAATCTTTTGCCTGAAGAGCCATCAGAGATTTCTCAAATTGCAGGATACGTGATTCTAAAATTAATTGGTTTTTTGTAATATTTTTCGATGTTTGCTCAAAAACATCTAGAGCCTGACTGATAATTGTAACTTGTTCCTGGACTAAAGTTTTGATTCTCTCTTGATTTTTCGATAATGATAATAATGCTTGATCATAACGTTTCGCATCTGATTCATCTAAATTTCCTGTTATTATTTTTATGATCGAACCAAGCCCATTGATTAATCCTCTTTTCTGTTTTCTATTATAAACTGGATTTATCTGTAACAATTGATCGTGAATCTTTGATTCTAATGATAATATTAGATTACAATAATTTTTTATTTCTGTAAAATAGGAAGTTGAATTTTCAATTTCCATTTTCAATTGTTCAAAAATTACTTGCAATTCTGCGAATTGTTCAGCTAGATAGGAAATATCAAATATTTGTATGAATGACCAATAATCAGCAATATTCTGGGCGTTTCCTAATTTTAAGGGAAGGAGGCCAGGATTGTCGCTGAGGTCGTGGAATTTGGGACATACTAGTTCTGTTGTCGATCTTCCGCTGCAGGCGAGGATCCTGAAATAGAAGGGACTTTGAGTTCCTTCATATGTATTATTTCTATTTTATTTGTGGACTTATTTTTTATTTTTGCTTTGTTATGTTCTAAGATTTCTACTAACTCAAATGGACCTTTAAATTTGTTGTCTTTTTTATTTCTTCTACGATTGGCTTTATAGACTACTTGCCCTACTTTGAACTGATATTGTGAGCTACCATGAATGTTACGTTTTTCGAGTACTTTGGCTTTATTTTCCTGCAAATCGTTTGAAATACGCTGGTATAGATGTTTCATTTTATCTTTATGATTTGAAGCATAGTCAGAGTAAAAAGTAGTTTCGATAAGGTCCGAAGGATCTCTGGAAATAGTGTGCCCAAAAGTCAATTCAAATGGCGTGAATTTTGTAGCAGAATGTAATGAACTGTTATATGCTATTAAAGCGTAATTGATAAGGTTAGTGGTCGTTTCTTTTGGAAATTTTTGTAAAAGTATTCTGAGATGCTCAATTAGTGATGAATGGAATCTTTCTATTGGTGAATTTGATTCGTGATGTAAAGGTGTAGTAAAATGCACATCGATTTTATGACATTTCAAGAGTTCCCTAACAGTCTCATTTTTAAATTCTGTACCATTATCAAGAGTAATACGCTCAGGTAGACCATAATATGAGAAATAATGTAAGAATGCTCTACAAATTTCGACACCAGTGGAATATTTGGGGGATTTCTAGAATATTTGGCTTTTTGACAAATTACACAATCGTTAATAAAATGTGTGATATCGGTCTTCATGCGGGGCCAATAATAATTTCGTTTGAGTTTTTCTAATGTTTCATTGATTCCTCTGTGATTACTCTTGCCTTCATGTTGAAATTTAATCAGCATAAGTTGCGCATCTTTTTCTTTGACAGTATTGATTAATTTTGTACATTTAACTAATTTTAATTCGTTGCTATCGAAATTATCTATGAAGACTCTATTAAACATAGTATAAAGTGAATCCTCATGGAAGTACAGATAAAATGTTCTGTCATTGGATGTGTATTCTCTAAGAAATTCATTTATGGCTGAAGCAGAATTTGGAATTTTCACATAAAGAATTTTATGATTATCAAAGGTTTCTTGTTTGACATCTGTTCGATTGTGTGGATTTTTAGAAACGATAACTTGGGTTACCTTATTATTGATTATTTCATCTAGTATAGGAATACCATCATTGAAATTATTTTCCGCGTTACAAGTGTGGGCTGTCTCGGTTTCGCTGTCTTTAGGAGATTCATTTTGTATGTTATTCGGTGGAGCTACTTGAACATCTTGTAAAATGTGTATATTTCTTGAAGAATCTAACGGTTGTGAAGCCGTAATAGGATTTCCGGGATCTGAATTTAACAATGCTAAGGTATCTTCTTCCAAATCTGGGAGAGATTGTTTATTGGCAAATAACTGATTTAAATAATCTTGAATATCCTGATCAATGTCACCTGGGTTATTTATGACACTAGCTGATTCTACTGCATTTACATGAATACGTGACAATGCATCGGCATTAGTATTGCATTTTCCTTTTTTATATATGATTTCATATTGATAGTCCATTAATTTGAGTCGCCAACGTACAAGTCTGCTATTAACATCTTTAGCATTCATCAACCAAACTAGAAGGCGATGATCTGTATATATATAAAATTTACGTCCAAATATGTAAGGTCTAAATTGTTTGCAAGCATATACAATAGCCAAAAGTTCTTTTTCGGTAGTAGTATATCGAGTTTCAGTTTCGTTTAGAGTGCGACTAGCATAAGCGACTGGTTTATCATTAGGAATGATACCTTGAGATAAAACACAACCTATAGCTTGATTCGAGGCATCGGTAGTGACAATGAAAGATTTTTCAAAATCGGGGTATGAGAGTATGGGTGCATTTACTAGGAGATCTTTACAATGTTCGAAAGATTTTATAAATTCGGGTGTGTGGACGACTTTAGCTTCTTTCTTAAGACAAAGTGTCATTGGACGGGTAATTTTTGCAATTTTAATAAATCTGCGATAGTAACCTACGAGACCTAGGAATGATTTGATCTCTTTTTGATTGTTAGGAATAGGAAAATCTTTTACTGCCGAAACTTTATCTGGGTTTGGTTTTACTCCCTCTGGGGTAATGACATGTCCTAAATATTGAACCTCTTTCCTTAAAAATTCCGATTTATCCATTTGGATTTTAAAATTTGATTCTCTGAGCTTTGCAAATACTTGTCTTAAACGTACAATATGTTCTTGAAGAGAACTACTGAAAACTACAATGTCGTCTAGATAGACGAGACATATTTCATTTTGGAGACCACGCAGGATGTTATCCATGACGCGTTGGAATGTACTTGGAGAATTTTTCATACCAAAAGGCATTCTAAATTCCCAATGACCATTTTCAGTTGAAAAAGCTGTTTTTGGAATATCTTCTGGTTCCATTTCAATCTGATGGAATCCGCTAGCCAGATCAAGTGTCGTAAAATATTGACTTCGACCGAGTTTGTCTAAAATATCAATTATGTTTGGAAGAGGGTATTTATCGTCGACTGTACGTTCATTAAGTTTTCTATAATCTATTACAATTCGCCACTTCTTTTTGCCTGAAGCATCTTCTTTTTTTGGTACTATCCATATAGGGGATGAAAAGGGTGATGTTGAAGTTTGAATAATGTCTTGCTGTAGCATTTTCGAAATTTGATGCTTAACTTCATTTCTATGAATTTCTGGATAACGATAACTTTTTGTAAAGATGGGGGTATCATCGGTCAACCTAACTTTGTGTTTAATTTTGTTAGTGAAGCTTAATGGGATATTTTCGCAGTGAAAAATGTCTCTAATTCTAAACAAAGCTTGTGTATAGCATCCGCTTCTTCTTCATTACAGTGATCAAGACGTAAACTTTGCAGATTATTCTTTAATATGCTATTATAATTTTTGTCAAAATTTCCATCAGTTTCATTAACACTGTGAACACACACATCAAAAATTTCTATAGGTTCAATATCTAAAGGATTATTGATTTCTAAATTTACAGCTTCCTCACTCGAATTAATAATCGTAGTGATAGCAAAATTATCCGAAATATTCACCAAAGCTTGAGGCATCTCTAATTTGTTACCAAAATTTGTATACTCTAGAACACCTGTTCCGCTATTCAACTTCACGGGAATTTTCACAACTTGTTCTGTACGAGGGGCTATGGTGATATGGTAAGTCTGAAATTTTGTAGGTGGATTCGGACAATTTGATTTATTTTCGAAAATAATGGGGATATGGGCCATAGGAGTAATTAGCATCTTATTTTTTAAATCAATATTGGCTTGTAGCTGTTCTAATAGGTCAGCACCAATTATCCATCATATTTATCAGAAAAGCCAAAAATGTAGAATTTATGAAAATCGTCAGTATTGAAAATTTGGAATACAGGAATATGTGCTACTTGGTTATGGAACGTCATACCATGAGCTGTTTGAATATTGAAATTTTCGCCAGAAATATAATCTGAATAAAATTTATACGCTAATTTGGGGTCTATGAGACTTCTGGAACTACCGGTATCGATCAAAAAATAAGCAGTTAATTCGGGAATATAAATGTAAGGTAGATCTGTATGGATATTATTCAAATATATTATATCGGTTTGATGTTCGGAGGGACATGGGAAAAATTTTGTTGTTCAATTGTTGGGTCGTTAACTTCTTGTGAATATGTGTCATTGTCAAGCATTGGGTTGAAATGCTGATTTGGAACATCATAAGAGAAATCATGATTAGGATAGTCATATTGCTCATATGGTGGATTGCACTGGTTTTCATTGAGCATTGAATCGTTAGTAGGTGGTGTCAATATGGTTTCATTAATAGGTGATTGTTCATTTTCAATTTGGTGAGCAAATAAGTGTTGGGTGGATGATTTTGCATTCGGTTTCGAATGGATTGAACTCGTATCCATAGCAATCGGATATCTTGTCCTAGTTGTGACATTACTGTTATTACTTGCAGTAATTTGTGGATATGCAGGTCTATTAGTAGAGAAAGGTGGCCTTTGGAAGTTTTGTTGGAAATGTGGACGTTGAACAGATGTGTTAGCCTGGTTGAATCTCGGGAATTGTGTCTGATTTTGAGCATATGAAGTGGAAGGGTAATTAGAAAACTGAGATCTAGGAGGAAAATTATTATTAAAATTAGGCCTATGAGAATAATTTCCAGGGAAAGTATTCATCATTGGTTTCGGGTGATTTTGAGAGCTTTGAACAAATGAAGTTTGAATATATCTCACTTGTGGACCATTTGTGACAGTACGATTAGTATTCGGTTGATTAGCGACAAAATGAGGATTGAGTCTAGGTTGAGGTTTGTATGTATAAGGAACTCTGGAGGTTCTGGTTACGCCCAGTACTAAAGTAAATGAAATTTTCTTCTTCTGTGCAAAATGACAACGCTTGTTCTAATGAATCGGGATTTCTCAAACGGATAACCAATTGCATTTGGTATGGCAAGCCACTAATAAAAGTTTTCAAAGCAAAATCGTCATAATGTCTGATTTTGATCAACTTTTCCATAGCATTTTCAATGGAAGTATTCAATTTTGAAAACAGCAAACTCCTTGCATCCTGGATTCTCATTCCAAATTGCATAGGTGTTTCATTTCTCAAAGGTCTTATTGATATTAAATCTTGAATGAGACAATCAATACTCCGTTGATCGGAAAAAGTTACAGTAAGAGAATCTTTTATTGCTACCCATGAATTTAATTCTGATCGCGAACCAATTAAATCTGCAGCACGATCCCTCAATTTGCTCAAAATGGTATCTAGCAAACAAATATTGATTGGATCATTCACATTATTTGTATTTTGGAAAGCTCTTAGAAAATTTTCGCAAGAAGATATAAATCTATGTAATTGTTTAGGATTTCCATCGAAAGGTGGAATGTTATCAGCCTGATATCTAAGCAAAGATATATTTACGTCTCTAACGCCTGAAGCTGAGGCAGTAGTCGCTCTTGTTTCGGGCATTCTTTATAGATTCCAATTGGCAATTCTCTCAATTAAAGTTTCAAGATCGTCACTATAAGACATACACTATATTTTCAAGCGTTTTAGCTTTAGTCGTAGATATAAGAAAAATAATGGGAACTAAGGGAAAATACGAAAGGAAATGAGTCTTACGATAGCCACAAGATGATTCTCATCTGTGATATGGTGATTTGCCTTAAATCTTATCTTATCTTTGATCTCCCGTTGGTGGTTTCCTCGATGGATCCTGCCTTGGGTGTGGTTGTTTTCTTATCTATCCTTATCGCTAGGCTCCAGGTGGTGGTTTCCTCGATGGATCCGCCTTGGATGAGTCCCAACTATTCTGGTCGGCTTCTTCTTCTTCAGGAACTTCTTGGAGTGTCCTGGTTTGATGTCCGTGTCAGGTAAAACGTTAAAACGAACCGAGTACTCGCCGTAATCTGCGATAGAAACTTCGCGAAACTCGTCCCGACGTAGATCCTACTGCGACTGCATCACTTACGGAAGTACGACTCCGAAATAAGTTTTTAAAAAACTTTTATTTTCAAAACGTACAAAATTGATGTGAAACGGACCGAGAAATAGCTAGAACTGAATGCAATGCAAATTACGGTATATTGATAAACTCTGTAAAAAGTGCAAGCTATGTGAAATGCAATTCTACAATTATGCATATCTGGTGTCTGTAACTCGCGCAAACCTGAGCCCTCTTGATTACATTTTCCATCACTTTTTGGTAGGTTTCGGAAGGAATATTTTCAATCGCTTCCGTAATATTGTTCTTCAGATGCTCAGTATTTGGTTTATTGGCTTAAACCCTATTTTTCAAAAATCCCTATAAAAAAGTCAGGTGCCGTTAAATCCGGTGACCTTGGTTTTAAACGTCACGGAAATATTGTTCGCAAACACTCATGTTTCCCTAGCTGTTGACAAGTTGCTCCGTCCTGCTGGAACCACATGTTTTGCAGGTTAAATTGTTGGATTTGAGGAGCCAAAAAGTTGGGCACCATATCACAGTAGCGCTCGCCAGTGACAGTAAGAGAATTACCTTCTGCGTCTTCAATGAAGTAAGGTCCAATGACACCTCCATACCAAACACTGCACCAAACTGTGACTCGACGAGGATGTAATGGTCGTTGATGGATCACACGAGGGTTCTATAATGCCCAGATACGACAGTTCTGCTTATAACAAATCCGTTCATATCGAAGCAGGCTTCATCGCTCATTATCAGTTGTCGGTAAAAATCGTTATTTTGGGTATTAAGCTGTAGTTCTTTCGTTAACTGAATGTTGTATGGCCGAAAATGCATTTTTTTAAAACAGTGCATCATGACGTGCGACGCATACCCAGTTCTTGAGAACGATGTCTGGTAGACGCCTCAGGGCGCTAGGCTACACATTCACGAGCTCTCTCGATATTTTTCGGAGTACGAACAGTTGACCTTGTCAAGTCTTTAACTTCACTGGGCACATTATTTCCACCGAAATATTGCCGTAGTTTCCGAATCGTTGCAACAATCGACTCATTATTTAAGTAAAACGTTTCAACAATACGGACGAATTGTGGGATCGTATATCGCTCCATGATGAATTGGACATATGTGCTTTAAACAGCTACTACGGCGCCACCTACTGAAATGCGTGTATCAAAAATGGCGCGCAATTTAAATCAGTCAGTTATATATTGGCCACCCTGTATATGTAGCTATCGACCGATTACACACTAATACTATATATTACAAAAATGTTAAGCATTGGACTCAAACTGGATTATAACGAATAACTCTAAAAATATCTTGGGTGGTTAGTACTACTGTTTATTGACACACATATGATGGGTAGATGATTTGAACTAAACATTATCGTTACTTCAATCTTTAGACCGTTCCTCGAGTTGCAGTCAAACGTCAAGTTTTGGCTTTTTTATCACACTAAATTAATTGTTTGTGGTTCATTATACAAGGTCTGTCACAAAGTAATTAGGACAAAGAAAAAATAAACAAACATTTTTTGTTTCGAAAAATCGAATTTATTTTATTCAAAATAGTCTCCTTCAGAGTTAATACAGCGATTTGCGCGCACCAAAAGATTTTGGAATGATGATTTTAGCCCATTGACCGGGACGTCATTCAAAATGGTCGTCAAGTTTGGGATGACCTCTACGTCGGCATACCGCTACCCTTCATGGCCAAATGTAGTTTACCGAACAGAAAATAGTCACACGGTGTCATATCAGGAGAATATGGCGAGTGTTTTTTGTCAAAAGATTGGACAGAAGCGTCGATCGATGAGATGTTGTATTATCGTGCAACAAGCGCCAGCTTCTTTCTTCGCGGTGTTCTGTCCGAACACGACGAATACGCGACAGCAAACGCCTCCTAACGCCAAGATAAAACACAGAATTAACCGTTTGGCCCGGTGTAACGAATTATTTGTGTATAATTCGCTTCGAATCGTAGAAACAAATCAACATTATCTTGACTTTGGACTTTTCCAAACGGTTTTTCTCGGATTTGGCTTGCTTGGATGCTTCCATTCGGCACTTAGAAGCTTGGTTTCGGGATCGTATTGAGAACACCACGTTTTGCCACCAGTCACAATGTTGTACAGAAAGTTTTTGTCTTTTTTGGCCTCTTTCACGATGTCTCTCGAATGTTGAATTCGAAGCAATTTTTGGTCATCTGTGAGCTTGTGCGGAACAAATCGTGAACACACCTTTATCAAGCCCAAATTCTTGGCCAAACTGCGATGGGTCTTTAGAGATGTTTAATTCTATTTATATGTATCTCAATGAAGATTTTGGATCATTTTTGATAAATCCAAGCACTTTTTCGACGATTTCTGGCGTAATCACAATTTTTGGCTGACCAACACGTTCGTCGTCTTCCAGCGACTCACGATCCTCTTTGAACCGTATAAACCACTCTTGGACTCGGCTACGAAATAAAAAATCATTACCATGCACTTGCACATGATTCGTTTCGGTAAATCTTTTACATAGTTTGACACAGAACTTAATATGGTCTCTGTTCGATGCTCATTTTTCGACGGATGCTAAAAAGGTACTGTCACTTTGAGCGCGATAAATCCGCGTGAAGTGGTTCGATTGTCATGAAATTTTGACAGGCCACAATGAAATATGTACCTATTCAAAGCTAGTCTCTGATAATAGATGGCGCTACTTGTTTCGGATATCTTTCAAAAGCCCTGTTTACTTGGCGACAAACCTTGTACTTCCCACCAAAGCAGGATATGATTCGTTAACAATATACGCTATAAAATTTCAGGAATATGGTGTTAATGACTATCATCTGGATGTGCTGCTAGGCGAAAACCAGTTCTTTGTTGTTGCACCCAAGGATGTAGTTGTGGCCAGTCCGTATGATCTCGATGACAGAATACAGTGGCTTATAGAGCATAGGTAGGATACCATTTTAGTAGCTGCTACTAATTTTGTTCAGTGAAGTTTTGTGCGTTTTCATTAAAAAACGGCAGTGATAATATTTGATGTATCAGTAATACAAGTCGCGGATGACGATACAGAAACGGGCATCTTGGTATATATTAGGAATCATGTCAGAAGTATGACATCACACTGGATAGTGACAACTTTCTAGACTGATTGGGTCCAGATACCAGATATATTTGTATCTTGCTCAAATTCGATATTAGATTGTTTTTATAATTTAAGCTTAAGACAGTTAAAAAATGGTTTTTCAGTAAGTTTGAAGATGCGCTAGATATTCTAAGACGTAGCGAGAATGGCAATGGCAGTAATGTAGGAAACACAGTACCCCAAAGACATACAGTCCAGACTGTGGGTATTGAATACCTGGACCATTTGCTCCGGGAAGGACAATACGACGAGGCGGGACGGTTATGTCTAAGGATTTTTGAGAAGGACGCCCAGTTGTGGGAAGATCAGATATACAAGTTTGCCAGCGTGCATAGGCTCAGGTAATAATGACATCTGTATAATTTTAGAGAGCCCTGCAGTAATCTTAGAGCACCCTTTGTGCAAGAAAAGTGAGAAACAAACTTGTGACGTATCAAAATAATTTTGTGTCATACAGCAAAATACATTCGGTTAACAAAATAGCATCACAGCGTATTTTTAAATCTTCCTGGGATTCAGCACAGCATTACAACACCCACTTACATAGTTTTGATCCTACCGAGTCGGGAATGCTGTGATCTCGGGATCTACAACTACCAATACTCAAGACGTCAAACAACTCATCACGCCACCGGGAGCAACTCCGGCAGGGGTATTATGTAAAAAACCTAAAAACATCAAAACAGCTGACGAAATGTCATTTTGCAGAATAGGTAGTTTTTAATGTGCAAATAGTTCATTCCACGTTTGCTCTATGATCGCTGTTCGCTGACGTTTAAGCAATACGTACAGCTGCAAAACTAGTTCACAAGTGTACAACAGCTGTGTAGGTGTATTGAAACCCAACTGAAGCTTAAGCATGACAGGAAGACGATAAGACCAAGTCCTTTCCTTTTATTTATTTTGAAACTGCCTCATCATTAAAGCAAAACGAATAAATTCCTGAACTAAAGGAACTAATTGCGGGAATCATTAAATTAAGATTGACTCGTTTTGAAAACTTTTTGGATTTCAATGTGTCGAAGATTCAACTCAGTTTCGAGAAAGCTCTTGGTTTTTTAGTAGGATTCGAGATCATTCAAAGTGACATATAAATGTCAGTGCCAGTTAAAGATATTGACGCTGAGGATAGGTTTCGGTCAGAGTTTGAATCACAATATTATAGTTCTAAAGCAAAGGCCAAGTACTTGTTAAACTTGAATGCCAATATAAGTGAAAATTGTTATTTTGAAGCTCCTGTTAAAGTAGCTGCTGTTGATGTCAATGCGTTTAGTTTGCATTCAAATAATCAGATGCAATATTAAGTTACCTCAGATTGTATTATCCACATTATCATCTATTATCAGTGGCTTTGCTTTTATGATATATTTGAGGCTCTCGTTATCAACAATACTGTTTTACCGCAAATTAATTTTATTAATAGAGGTCACAAGCGATAACTATGTGTTTGCAAAAAAAACGTTTTGAGAATATAAAATTAAAAAAGAAATATTTTAGACGCCTTGAATAAAAATCTTAGAGCTTTAGTCACACTTAAGCAACAACCTATGTCCTAAAAGGTACAAAATATTTATCGGATTTTTTTTTAATAAAGAACGTTATTTAAGGCCCGTATCGTCAGCCGTCCCTACAAGTGTAGGGCGCGTTTATGGCCTCCTTGATTGTCATCCTCCTTTCTCTCCTTCAAAAATTTCTAGATTACACTTGTCCCGTGTCAGCGTCAGCGCTCTCCTATTGTGAAGATGTGTTTTCTTTTTAAATTGTAGGAAATTGCAGGCTGATAAAACATGATATAACTCAAAAGCAAGCACAATTTGATGATAATAGATGTTTGTGACATAACCTCAAAATATAGTTCTGACACGGAGAAGCAGAAAACTATGACAATCAAGGAGGCCATACTATTGTAGGGACGACTGACGATACGGGCCTAAACACTAACTAGTTATCATAAATTACAACTCAATACTTAACTAAAATATGCTATCGAATTATGTGGAGTGGCCCATTCTGCTCTACCAGACGCAACCTTCTTCGAATATCTCTCATGATGGACGGAATTCATGTCAATATCTCTCAGCTGTTCGTAAATTCGCCGTCTTAATTGTTCTTCATCTTGGGTTTCCCAGCCTCCATGATAAACCTTCTTGGTCAGTAGAGCCCAAAAATACTCTATTAGGCGAACCTGCAGCAAGTTTGGAGGATTATCGTTTTTGGGAACAAAAGGTATGTTGTGTTGTGGAAGCCAGTTTTGGGTATCTCTTGAGTAATGGCATGATGTTAGGTCTGGCCAAAACATGATGTGGTCGTTAGCATGATGTTCGTGAACAAACTGAAGCAATTTGGAAAGGCAGTTATCAATATAGCTCTGACTATTCAAAGCTTCACCCCTCGCCCTTCCCATAAAAGGTTGGGATACACCCCTGTTAGAAATCGCGCACCAGACAAGGATTTTATCTGCAAATTTCGCTATATGTTTATATCTAATATTGTCAGGGCATTCCTCTACGTTGTCCGTATACCGTATAAAATCCGTCGTTTCTCTGCATTTCAGAATTACTCCCAAGTGAAATACTTTTCGTCATCTAAAATAATGATTTTTCCATTGGCATTTGGCAAAGTGTACCCACCTCAATTGACGACAGCATCTTGGTATATGAAAGAGTTGAGCTTGAGAGTATTTGTGGCACCAACTTGTAGATACTCTTTCTTATTTGTAATTTATACATCTTAAAGCAAAAACATCCAAATAAATGAATGCCAACTGACAGTAAAGTAAATAAACAAACTTTTGTTTCCTAAGGCAACTTGATATTATTTAGTGTTTGTTAAAAATAAAGCCAATGAATTTTGTGCCAAAACTTTTAGGACATACCGAGCATTGGGATGCAACCCTCATATATCTGATATATGTTCTAAACTGCCTGAAATAATACGTGTAAGAAATGGGTAATGTCAAATAATGAGTTTCCACGCACAATTCAATCTTTCAAAACATTTTTATCAAATAGTATTTGTTTCAACGGGCAAAGCTCCTAGTACAAGTATTTTCATAAAATGTTGAGTCAATCGCATCTAATATACAGCTGCCAGAAATTACAAGATATGCAATCAAGCGAAAAATACAATGCCCTTAGGAGGCTTCATATATGCACAACAGTTTGTGCGAACCGTCAAAAATGCAGTGCCATCATAAACTTGTAATAATAAAAATGTCAATGCAAATCTTACCCATACCAATGACATAAGCACCCAGCACAGCACACCCTCAAACATTGATCATACACTCCCTGCAACTCAAACTAACGCAGACGCGAAACAAAATACTTCTGACACCACTTCCACTCGCACATTAACTAAAAGTGTAATGCAAGTCATTCTATCAACTGCTATAGTATACATATATTAGTCTAATCATATTAGCAAATTTCCCCGAAATAATTATAAAGTCTGGTTTTATTGGCGCAAGTTGTTCAAGGGGGTATTTAAAATATGGACGCATAAAATGGGTACACCAATTTTTATGGCAAAACTTTTTATTTGACAACAAAGAATGAGAAAACGTGTTTTTGGGATTCAATCGAAATTGTTGACAGGAACGAAAAAACTTTTCATATAAGCTTTTTAGATATTTATGAGATCTACAAAATGAGACCACACGCGAAAATATCCTACTAATAGCAAAAATGTTATGGCCAAAAACGAGGCAAAATTGAAGTTTTGGCACTTGTTGGTAATGCGATGATAATTTCATGCAACATGAAATTCTTCAGATCCCTAGGATTTATACTTCTAAATAACAACAAAATTGGAGTATATTGGTCAAGTAGTTTTTTGAGAATTTCTAATTGTTTATCCCAAAACACCTGTTTTCTGGCCATAAATTTGTCTGTGAAATTTCTTCTAGCTTGACTACCACAGTAGCATCTAAGCATAGTTCTTATCAAACTTGTCCTCAATGACATTTCTGGCAACTTGCCTGAAGAAAATCGACATTTCCTGGATAGACTTATTGCTTGGACCAACATCATTTTGGGGTATATTACTGTCAAATCAAATAAAATTTTCTAAGCGTTATCCCATTATACAAGAAACTAAACTTGAAATATGATCTGCGGTACTATACCATTCTAACAACCAAGTTCGTTTTGCCATTTTGCAAATTAGATTAACAAATCGAAAATTTCTGGACGATTGAAGAATGTCCAATCAAGACACCTCATTAGTCGTTCAAAGAGAATGCTGCTGAGAAGCATTTTAAAAAACGCATTTACTTGAACTTGATGGTAGGTTTTTTGTCTTTCCGCAAAGAAAAAGCGTTGATGGTCTCATCGAGAGAAGCACACAGTCTGCACTCAAACAGGAATACTCACAATTGATGCTTGTCCCATCTGGGTCCTCTTCTTTTCAATATATATGTGAATTATATTAATACTGTTTAAAGTCTGTTAGTTTTCTAATGTTTGCAGATGATTTGAAATTATTCTTAAAAATCAAAAAATATAATAATGATTGTTTAAATATCCAAAATGATTTGAATTCATTAAGTCTCTGGTGTCAAATGAATAGAATGGAACTTAATGTGGAAAAATGTCATTTAAAGGTCTTCAGCCGTAACAGGGACCCCATTGATCATACTTATACCATGAAAGGTTGTCCTCTAAAGAGTGTATCCCAAGTTAGGGATTTCGGGGGAAACCTGAACCCAAAATTATCCTTTATTACCCATATAAATATGATTGTTTCTAAATCTGTTCAACTGTTGGGATTTATAAAACGATGTGCTAAGGATTTTCATAATATTCAGTCATTTAAAACGTTGTTTTGTTCTTTGGTCAGTCAAGTCATCGTTGGTTGTCAGAGTGGTCCATGGGACCTTAGCTCTTGAGTCACAGTGTCAGTTTGTAAGTCTGTCAGGCATATTTCGCATGTGTGTTTTAGCAATAAAACACCAAGCCGCGCATGCGTAAGTCATTGCTGGTCTTATGACCACCTTATAGAGTCGAATCTTGTTAATCAAACTTAATTTTAAACGTTTACATAATAATGGGTAAAGCTGTCGAAACGTAATTTGGAATTTAGTTTTTAGCGCTTCTATATGGTTCCGCCAAGTCATCCCTTTCATTGAAACTTCAGACGGTAGTATCGTCAGCCTAGAGATAGACTTCACAGTTGCTGGGACTAGGGACGTCATGGATGTACAGTGGGTAAAGGATAGGTTCAAGGACCGAACCCTGATGGACGCCGGCTGTAATCAGCCGTGTTGTCGACAGGACATTGTCAATTTTGATGCGAAATTTCCTACTTTCAAGGAAGGATTTCAGTAGTTTTAGAAGCCAAAAAGGGAAGCCCTTTTGGATTAGTTTATACAAGAGGCCCGCGTGCCACACCTTGTCAAATGCTTTTGAGACATCCAAAAGCAAGATGCCAGTACTTTCGTTAAGGATGAATCCTCTGGTTACACGTCCCACCAGAATAACCGCCTGTAGCTCCGTACTATGTTCAGACCGAAAACTGAATTGCACGTCAGGAATCACATGGTGATCTGACGAGAAATTCTCAAGGTGACGTAGAATCACCTTTTCAGCGAGCTTAGTCGGAGCTGACAGCAGGCTAATGGGACGATAATCCTGGGGAAATATCGAACCCACCTTCTTTGGAATCATTATAACTTCAGCGGTCTTCCACGCGGATGGGAAGTACTGGATCCTTAGTATGGCATTGACTATTGCCACGAGATAAGTTAAGGACTTCCGCGAAAGCAGCTTCAGCGCCTTATTAGTGATTTGATCCTCCCCAGATGCTTTACGCACTTTAAGGTCTTTAATATGACCTTGAATCTCTGCCGGTGTGCAATGCATGATCTCAGGAGATGCCGCTGCTGTGCTAAGCAGATCTTCGGTTGAAGAAGCTTCTGAAGAAGAATATTCTGATGAAGAAAAATCACCAACGATAGCGCGACTGTCACTGACGCCGTTGGCCCTAAAATATCTCCTGACAGATCTTACGATGTGTTGCTCCTCGTCGAGGCCATTATCAAGATCATAGTTGGGAGAGAACTGTCTTTCCATGCCATCGGCGAAAACCTCAACCTTCTCCTCTGTCCTGAAGACAATGCCTCCAGGACCGTGAATGTGTGGGATTTGTTCACGCTTTCCGTTTTTGAGCGACTTCGCCACCTTCCAGAGAGGAATGCTTGAGTCGAGCATCCCCGCCAGAAAGTCGTTCCATTGCTCATTGCGGAATTCATGAAGAGCATTTCTTACTTCATGAACAAGATTTGTCGCTCTGCGAATGTCATCAGGATGACAAGACCTTTTCGCTTGCTTAATTGCAGCCCTTTTATCAGAAATTTTCTGACGAATGTCTGTCCGCAGAAAAGGTCTGCCGTGTCGCTGCACGGGAAGTACAGCTGCACGCTGCAGAGCTTGCTGAACAAAACTTGTCCACTCTGCTTGAGCCGCATCTATACCGTTCTCATCATCTATGATCGGTATATTGGGGAACTCTCTGAGGAGCGACTTGTATAGCTCCCAATCAATGCGTTTCCTTGGAGGGGTTTCATCCCCCAAGATCTGCTCATTACCCACTTCCAAAACGACGGGAAGAGGATCGCTTGAGATGTCATACATGATTCGTGAAGTGATACTGTATCTACAGTTTTTGGATAATGCAAAATCAAGAACATCAGGTGCCTGAAGGTGATTAAATGGGTGGTGCGTCGGCTCCTCAGTACTATGTATGAGGTAGCCATTTCATATCACATGGTTGTACAGTCGGATCCCACTGGTGGAATTCAACCTAGAATGACATGCTCGATGTTTGCAGTTGAAGTCCCCTGCCACAATAAGTGGACCCGAGCAGTCTAAAAGGACTTCCAGATCCGCCTCTTGTAGCCTGATACCACACCTGACATACACCGATGTGATTTTTAACGGCACACCTCCCGTCATATTGACCACCACGGAAGCCGCTTCGATGCTCTGCATGTCAGCGTTTGTCAGTCAATCCAGTCAATCTATCAGCCCGGATAACATCTTAATTCGGGAAAGCTAGACGATCTCCCGGATTAAGTAATGTTTCCTGCAGCAAGGCCACATCTATACTTTCGTCCACAAGAGCTTGATGAAATTTCCGTTTTTTGAGAATCTCCCTTAGACCCAAACAATTCCAAAAAAGAATTTTGATAAATGCATTCTGTCGTCGATTGTACCTAGCCATTTGCAGGATCGCCTGCAAAGCCTGTGTTGCGCTAATCAGAGGACCTATGATCTGCTGTAAGGGTTGCCAGGTCCACATTTTGCGTGTTCGCAGAAGATCCCACAGAGGGGGCAGCCCAGGTTGCATCCCTAGCTGCATCCGCATAACTTACATTGCGCATTTGCGCTATCACTTGCAGATTTTTCTTAGGGGCAAATCTGCAAGTTCGGCTATTCGCTGGATGCCCCCTCCACAGTTCGCGCACTTCCGTTCCTCTTGTTCTGTTTGAGGGCATAAGTGGGTCATGTGGTTAGAAGCACATTTTAGACACTTAGGTGGTGCAGTGCAGTAAGATTGCGCATGCCCATATTTTTGGCAGCGGTGACACTGCCCGATGAATCTTGAGTTCTTTTGAACTTCGACTCGGATAGCCAAACCTAGCAGCTCATGTTCGCTGAACAGCTACTGAGATGTTTCTATCTTGGGCAGTATGACTACCACCAAAGGCATGGGCACGCCGCCACCGCGTTTCAGGCGAATTATGTGCAGGGGGGAATATCCCCTCTGTTGCAACTCTTCCTTGATCTCCGTTTCCGAAAGTGTCGCAGGAACTCCTCTGATTACAGCATGAATGTTCCTCTCCGAGGGTAGAGGGAAAGTGTGATGGGGCACCTCTTCCTCCCTGAAGAGACGAATAATTCTGCGGTAATCATCCTCGGACTTGGGAATTATCTTGATTCCTGCATCGACGGCAACCGCGCGTTCGAATTTGATGCCCAAAGAAATAAACTTGTGCTTTACACCTCGCCATCTCGAAGCATCGCGAAGAACGATGGGGGTAACACGTACCTTGCGTGGGGGCTGTGCAGTCGTGTCTTCTGACACCTGGATCTGGATTGTGAAGTGTTTGTGACTGTTCTAAGTCAAAGTAGGGTTAGGTTTACATTAGATTTTCTATGCTGTACTTTAACTGGGCAGTCACTCGTTGATAAATAAATAAATATTTGAACTTAAACCACATAGAATTAGTCTCTATTGAAACATCAAGCAATGACATTGTACATTAACTCATCATGCACTCTTAAAAGAAAAAAGTCGTACCACAAAGCTCAATATGTTTGGTCCTGTTGTACAGCAAAATCTGTTTAATATCTTGATAACTTTTAGACTTTTGTAGCTACAGTTAACATTGCTAAAATGTATAGGCAAGTAAACTTAGCTTCCAAGGACAGAGATTTGCAAAGGATTCTCTGGAGGGACAGTTCTGAGGATACTGTCCAAGAATATGGAAAAAGTAACATATGGTTTGGCTCCAACTTCATTTATTTCCACACGTTATCTTAAACAGCTATCACTAGAAAATCAACTAAAATATCCAGAGATTGCTTCTATATAGATCATTCGGTAGTGACTGTGAATGTGACTTCATCACTCTGAAGCGTGAAGTTTCCGCCATCCTTGATCAACCTAAATTTGAATTAAGAAAATGGAGATCATGTAGTCCCAAGATCATCAGACCAGATACCGTCTCTTCAAGTACTTTGCTCATAGTTGATACCAAGGTTGACGCCAAAACTTTTTTATATATTGAGGCAACCCCAAGCTGTATCCAGCCAAATGACCAAGCACACCTTACTGGCTGCCATAGCACAAATTTATGACCCACTAGGACTCGTAGGCCAAAATGCTTATGCAACAGTTGTAGAAGCTGGGATATAATTGAGATGAAAAGATTTCTACTGATCTTGCTATAAAATGGGATGAATTTCTGGTACAACTAAGACAGATCGACCAATTACCATTTTCCTGGCGCATCAGTTACGGAAAAGCTATGAACATACAAATTCATGGCTTTGCTTATGCCAGCATCAATTTATTTGCGTGTAACTAATGATTAAAATCAACAAATCTAAAGTGTATTTACACCCAAAATAGAATGGATGCATGATTGCCAAAAGCAAGTACGGCGTACAGGGCCGCATTCAGGGCTACCTCCGAATGATGGACTACCACCAACGTGTTGTAAAACAAAGATGACAGTATTTAACGAAATTATCTAATATAGTGAAGTAGTTATAGTTAAGGGTGTCGCAAAATCAAATTTTTATTCTTAAAGGGGTGCTCTTTTTCTACAGATTTTTCAAACTAGACAACATGGAAAAATACATACTAGAGGTAACCAGCTGCTCACTATGCACAATGAATCAGTAGTCAACGAGGGGTACATGGAATAAATATAAGGCTGTTCAATCAATTGAAAATAGATTTTTACGGTGCACTTCGGACTTGCATTGTCTGTAGTTTATGTGTAAGTTAATATTTCACTATAACTAGGATTCCCATAATATGTATTCTGTGACAAAACAAAAACGCGAAACTTACTCAGACTCACTTAAAGAGCTATCGTCATTAATGTTTATGATGATGGATTCAAAATCTCTCTCAATTATGTTGTCCAGCTCCCACATTGCTACCTCCACTTTCTCCTGAATATGCTGCACACATTTTTGCCGTCTTTCTGGTGTGAACCTCTGTATAGCAATTCTGAACAGCTCTTGCATGTCAGAAAATTTAAATGTTGTATTGTGTGCAGCGACAAAATTCTTAACATCTGCCCATATGAGCTCAATGGGGTTGAGCTCACAGTGGCAAGGTGACAAACGGAGTACTGTTTTGTGGTGTGCTTTGGCCATTTCATCTATGACATATTTATCATGTCTTGGTCTGTGTTGTTTCACAATATCTAATAGTTGTAATTTCAGTAAGGAAGGGTCGAAAGTTATATTTTTGGAACGGAGCCAGCTCTGAATGTCTGATTTCCTAGAAGCTGAAGTTGGGATTTTTTCTATTTTGCGAGAATGATAGGGAGCATTATCCAAAACAACCACAGAATTGTCTTCGAGACGTGGTAAAATGCATGAAAACCACTTCTCAAATGCTTCCCCATTCATCTCTTCATGATAGTCAGTGGTTGTTGTTGACTCAAAAGACCATAAGCCGTCATCCACGAAGCCATCTACACCCCCAATGTGGCAAATAATGAGCCTTTTTCCTTTGCCTAGAAAGATAACATCCGCTAAGTACACATGCACGTCTTGTAGGTACGAAGATAGAGAGATATTGTGCGCAAAAATTGATACCGTGAACTACTTCGATCTATTTACCTGCTGGATTTTTCAATCCGGTCGACAGTCCATCTAGAAATGCCCTTCTGGATGAAGTCACAGTTTTGTCAACCCATACCTTCGGAGTAGTGTGCCCAGCGTTAATCCAGGTTTCGTCCAGGTAATAGATCTTCCTGTGCTGATCCCTGAATGATTTAATTTTGGTCAGGTACTCATCCTCTCCTCCACAGAACAATTTCTTCTCTATCCATAACTAAGCTCCTTTCTTCCATTCGAAATTAAGATGCTTCAAAAGTTTACGACTAGTCGAACGTCTGAAATTTTTTAACATAGCATCCTCGATAACCTCCCGTAGTATTTTATCAACTGTCGGTATTTCGTTTCTGAAGAAGAACTCGTGCACTTGCCTTCGAATCGCATGCTTGTCAGCGTCATCCAACGATCTTATGATACTTTTGCGATTTTTACCCGTCATTGGCTTGGAAAAGGCATGCTTTTTCTTATGTTCGTTCAAAACATTGTACACTGTCGCTTGGCATACCCCAATTTTATCTGCCACTTTCAGACCTATTTTTGGGTTAGTTGATGTTTCGTCTTCCTTCCGCTCTATCTTGAATGTATTCAATATGCCGTCTTTCATGTCTACGCTAAGATGTCTTTTTTTGATCGCTTTCTAGGAGGGCTAAGGGACTAGCCTACAGCCTCGTTAGCAGTATCTGTACTGGACATGTTCAGGATTGGTTCAAAACAAATAATAACGAGGAATAACAATAACAAACAGAAACTTAACAAATTACTCAAATACACTAAACAACAACAACAACAACAACCAAGCAAGGTGAATACGAAAACGCGAGCACGCAGTGATGCACGCGACAGTCGGTGGCCTGAATGTAACTCTGCCTGCCATGCCCCTGCCCGCGCATTATTCCGCCAGGCGACCGCTTGAAATTTAATGGCGAATTGACCAATAAGAGGCGTTGACCCCACCTGTTACCGAGAGATCACGCGCTAACTGTTATTATTTACATCTCATCTTGAATTTGGATTCAGTTTAGTCTACTCAAAAACTAAAATTGCACCACTCAAAAACCAGAGCATTCCACGTTTAGAGCTTTGCGCAGCAATTATTGGCGAATCTATATCAATCAGTCATAGGTTCACTTAATTTATAGATTAATACAGTTATGTTTTGGAGTGACTTAACAATGACTTTGGCTTGGATTGCCGAAGAACTCAGTCAGACTTTCGTTGCTAACCATGTATCTAAGATACAAGAGATATGCGACAGGGTGGAATGGAAACATGTCCCATCAGGGGTTAACCCTGCTGGCTTATTATCTGGAGGGACAACTCAGTTATCCAACTCCACTCTCTAGAGGAATGGTCCAAGTTGGATACTCATAATGAGGATGCTTGGCCAATTGCCATTTTATTGTCAAAGTACCTGAGAAGAAAGTAAACCAATCATTTCACTCAATGTCACCAAGCCCATGGACTCAAATGAATAACAAATATTTGTCATTGGTGAAATTGGATCGTGTTTTACAATACATGCTTAGATTAAAAAATCGTACTTTAAGACTCAGCCACTCCTTTGACTGTTCTTGAATTACAACATGCTTTGGAAACTATTATAAAGTTGGTACAGAATCAAGAATTTAGTAATGAAATCAAGTGTTTGAATGTTGGAAAGCCAATTAGTTCTTAAAGTACCACACTGCCATCAAATCCTTTTTTGTATTAATCTCAATTGCTCAGAGTAGATGGATGGTTTAAAAAATGCAAATATTTCTCACACGCAGAAACACCTGATCATACTGCCATCTAATCAAGAATGCACTGATTTGTTCATAACTCATTTTCATAAAAAATATTTGCATGCTGGTCCAAATACTTTTTAGCTTCTATCGGGAATACTGGCCGATAGCTGGTAAAAGAAAGATCGAACGTGTATTACGAAAATCTAATATGTTTTCGATGTCATCCCCATTCTTACAAGCGATTAATGGGACAACTTCCAGTCGAACGCACATCACCAGCCAGACATTTTTAAATTGTGGCACGGACTTTGCTGGTCCATTCGCCATATAAATGAATGCGTTTTGTCACTAAAGCAGTACACTAAGAACTTGTTTGTGATTTAACAACCAATGTCTTCTTGAATGCGCTTAAAATTTTTGTTTTTCATCCTGAACTAGTTGCAAATCTATATTCCGAAATTTTACTGGGTCTCATAATGAGTTAAGCCATAACTCTTTTATCACAAAACGCAAAAACTTTTACCGAATTCCTTTCTGCGAATTCAATCTCATTGCATTTAATTCCCGCAAAATCGTCCCATCTAGGATTATGGGAGGCTGCTGTGAAAAGCGCAAAGTTTGACATCAAAAGAACAGTAGGCAGCCAAATTCTGACATACGAAGAATTAAACACCGTCATATGGCAAGTGGAAGCAAAAACCCTGACTTCTGGTCACATTCTAATCGGCGAAACACTACATGCGGTTCCCAATCGAACTTAAAGGAGCTAAATATTGGGAGGCTAACCAGATATCAGCTGTCAAGCAGAATTGTTCGAGATTTCTGGGCCCGGTGGAGCAAAGAATATCTCGCCCAACTCCAAGTTCGAGGTATTACTTTGGTACCCCTGAAGGAAGATAGCCAACCTCCTCTTCAGTAGCACCTTGGGCGGGGCGCAGAAGTCCATCCAGGTTGCGATATTGAAGTTCGGGTAGAGTCGGTGAAGTCGAATAAAAGATATTTTAAACACACAGTGAACATGATGTATCCGCTACCTATTGAACAATGAACAAGTTTACATGTTTGCGTTATTATAAACAGTACTTGTTCTCTGTGTTATTTTGAACTTTGTTGAAGCCCTTCTTACTATAGTTTGACTCTCTCGACTGTATCGACTCTTCTAAGTCCTTGAACATCTTTCTCTGTCATGCCTCTCTTAGTTTTCTTGAGTCTCTTAACGCTTTTGTCTCTCTTGACCCTCTTGGCTCTCGACTCTCGACTTTCTTGATTCTCTTGAAAAAACAATCCTCTACCTCAGATTACTTGAAATTTCTTTTCTCGTAAATGTTGTTTTCGTTTTGCAAATATTATGAAATTACTGGGGGCCAGGGCAGGCGAATGTGGTGGATAATGATATTCCATATGATATACAATGTGATGGAAGTTATTTGTAAAAGCGATAATTAATTTTTTTCATATTTTACTTATTTCGGGTCGTACGTATCATATGTATTATTTTCTTTTCAGGTCTGTCAGTCCATACATTCCCCGTACTTCTGATTGCAAGCTCAACCCACACATCTACGAGATGATATTGTATGAATATCTGAAACTAGACGCTCAAGGCTTTCTGGATCTGGTGAAAGAATGGGACCCCGCCCTTTATAATGTATGCGCTGTGATAAATGCCGTTTTAGAGCATCTCCTCAATTGTGAGGTCAATAAGAATCTATACGTTGAGGCGCTCGCTATATTGTATAGCTACGAGAAGATGTATGATAAGAGTCTCTCTATGTACCTCAAGTAAGTTGTTAATTACTAATATCTCTAGTTTTGTAATCTGTAAGCATTGTTTATTAATATAGACTAATATCAGAAGCTTAAATAAAAATTTTGATAAACTAAATGTTATTTTATAACAAACAAAAACTGACTTTGATTTAATTATTTTGACAGAAACATGGAACATAATAGACACTTCATTATTTATCATACAGAGATATAAAATCATATATAATTTTGGAAATTATAATCAAAGCGACGGCATTATCATTATCAAGAAAATATCAAAATTGTAAGCAATGAAATTATTACATTAAATTGTAATAAAGCCATTAAGTTAACTATATTTGAAAAAATTACTAATAAAGTAATAATTATATATAGATCCCCCTCTTCATCAGTAAATGACTTTATAAATTGTTTAAATGAATTTTTAACTAGACCTCATATTAATAATGATATAATTGTTTTACTAGATCTGAATATAAATTTGTTAAAAACAATGATACTAAAAATAACTACCTAAATTTAATGATAATTTTGGTTTCCTATCATATATAAACACTGCAACACGAATACAAGGACCTCAAAATCTTGTATTATCATATCTTTATTAGACACTTAAAATAAAAATTCAGTTATACGCCAATTCTTTTGGAAAATAACATAACTGATCATTTCTCCACTATATTACAAATTATATCCAAGAATAAAAACCTTGACACATGAAACCCTAGTCATTATAAATATTATTTAGATAAAACAAAACTAATAAACATGACTAACGAAAAATCGTTTGATATATGCTGAAAATGCTGAAAATAGAAATAGCTACCAATACCTTCATAGAAAAAAATTCGATATTATGTAAATATAAGCACTAATAAAATTAAACTAAACTAAAAATGTGCAGTATTAAAAGAAAAAATGGATCAAAAATGACGTTCTGAAAGAAATTGAAAAGAAAGACAAAATTTATAAGACAATGATTAATAACCCTACAATAGAAAACATAATTATAGAAAAACTAGGAATAACCTAACTGAAAAAATCAAAAAGCCAAAAAAGATTATATCAAAAAAAAAGATTAGTGAAAATGGAAACAATTCTACATCACTGAGGAATGCTTTGAAAGAAACAGAAACAAAAAAGATCGATACCAAAATTTACTTAATAAAAGATGAACAAAATCATATACATATTTAAATCAAAATAAGAAATCGCAAACAGATTTGTAAAATATGTTTCTAATATAGGTGTGACACTCAGGAATAAAATTCAAAAAAATTCAACATATAGTGAGTTTCTACAGAAAAGATAGTTTTTTCTGAAAAGGAAAACCCCAATTTTGTGAACACCCTGTATATATACATATATGTAAGTTATGTACCAGTCTACAGAGAAGAATATGCTGAACAAGCACTTTTGCCTCCACGTGCCTTTCTTATCAGTTACAGCATTGTATTTCATTTGTTCTTTACTTTGGTTTGTATAATGAACTTTGCAGTCAGTCTCGATTCAGAACTCATTCAATTAACATCATTGTATTTGGTATTTCTCAAAAATAAATCTTTTTAAAAAACGTTTTCGTTGAAGAAAGATATTTGAGTGGCGCAGCCAGTAGGATAGTCAGACGAAAAAAGGGACATTTTTCGGTTCGTTTCAACGGTTTACTGGCTATAACGAAACCAACCGCGATTGGTCGCGAACGATCCGACGGAATATCGATATCGTTACCGTGATCACCGGAACCAGATTTGGGATAGAACCCTACCCAAATCGAGAAACCAAGACGACAGCAGCCCAGAGGACAGAAGGAACATCTGCTCCAGGACAAGCAACCCAGCAGTGGCCCAGGCATACGGACACATGGGACGGATTGGATTATTACTGTAAGTACGAATGTCTTACAGGGGTGAAAACAATCAAAAGCTGTTTGATGATACATTGAGTGATACTGATTCGGACTCACAGTCGGATACGGAACATATCCAACATAGTTTAAGGAACTTGCAATTAAGACCTAGTATACTAAATAGTACAGTCAATATGAACAACAGTCAAGTAAATCAATCAAGCATGTCATTACGCCCAGAGTATCTTAACATGATACCCGAATTTTATGGTCAACAAGAATTATTACCAAGATTCATAGATATTTGCGAAAAGTTAGTGAATAAATTTTATAGATTAGAGGATGAAAATGACTTCCAGAACGAATATCTTATGAGTAGTATTTTAGCGAAAATCAAAGGTAATGCAGCTTTAAATATTAGTAGCAATATTATAAAAAATTGGACAGACTTGAAAACTGCACTTTTAAATACATATCAAGACAAGCGTGACGTATTTACTCTAAATATAGAATTGTGTGAATTGAAACAGAACAATGAAACCCCCTTTGAATTTTATAACAAAGTTCAGAGTTTATTGAATTTACAAATATCATTTTTAACTACACATTGTGTGAGTGAAGAAGCTCAGATAATATGTAATTTTTGCAAAAGCGTAGCATTAAGAGTATTTCTAAAAGGTTTAAAGGAACCTCTAGGATCGCTCATGAGGACGAAAAATCCTACAGACTTGAATGAAGCTCTGAATATATTAACTAACTACTTTCAGCTTGATCATAAGGTAGATAAACATAAAAATGTTAATCGAAGTAATATGCAATTAGTTCGCAATATGAACAACAACTTTGGTAATTATAGGAATCAATACCAAGCGGTACAGCGTCCAGTATTACAAAGACAATTTAGTCCTAATAATGTACGACCAAATAATCCTAATCAGAATAGAACGAATTTTCACAATAATAACGTTTTTAGACCTAATCAGATCAATAATCTGCCAAGGCCTACTCCGATGAGTACATCCACTAGACAGACGTATCAGCAACCAAATTTTCAAGGTAGAAATTTTAACAGACCTGGTGTCAACGCAGAACAGGCTATGTTTAACTTGTGTGTACAAGACCAACCTGTTGTAGAATTTCCAAATGATGACAATTATGAATGCGCTTATTCTCAGAATAATTCTGACGATTTTTTAGGGCAAGAAGCCTCGGAACAGAGACAACCACAAATCTCAACGGACCATCCAAGTCAATTGAAATTATGAGTTTAACCGACAAATGTAGCAAACTACCATACATTGTATTTCCGGAGTATAATCTCAAAGTATTGATTGACACTGGAAGTACAAGATCTTTCATACACCCTGAAATTGCGAAAAAATTATTTTCAAGACATATTCAAAAAGACCCATTTCAAATCACTTCAGCACATGGTTCATCTATCGAACAATATAGTATGACAATACCTTGTCCAAAGATTTTTAAGAATCCAAATATTCTCATGAAATTTCATTTATTCAAGTTTCACGAACATTTCCAATGCCTTTTAGGACTCGATAACCTGAAAGAGATATTGAATGCCAACATTGATTTGAGCAATGATCTTTTAGTCACACCCACAACAAGGATACCCATGCAATATCACGAGATTACAAAAAATTCTTCTAATGTTATCACTATTCCACCTAGAACAGAACAGATAATTAAGGTTAACATAAAAAATTTAAAAAATGGTAATGCTATTATTCCATACAGAAAATTATCATGTTTAGAAATCCCTGAATGTCTTACTACAGTGAAAAATCACGAAGCGATTTGCACAGTATTAAATTTATCTGAAGAACAGATTTCTCTTGACATATCTCGACCAATAGATGTAGAAAATTTTGAAAATTACGAAGTTTCAGAAAATTCTGATCCACCGAATATTAATTCTTTGAACTTTCAAAAATATAAATTTGATATTTCCAAAATTAGGACAGAGCATATGAACTCTGAAGAAAAAGACGCAATCACCAAGTTAGTAAGAGAGTATTCAGACATATTTCACATAGATGGTAATTACTTAACTTTTACGAGCAAAATTAAGCATCATATACGTACAAGCGATGAAATACCCATTTACACGAAATCATACAGATATCCTGAAATCCACCGAAAAGAGGTACAAAGACAAATACAATCAATGCTTGATCAAAAAATTATTAGAGAGAGCCATTCAGCGTGGTGCTCACCTATATGGATTGTTCCAAAAAAATTAGACGCATCGGGAAAGCAAAAATGGAGAATAGTCATTGATTATAGAAAATTGAATGAAAAAACATTGGGAGATCGTTATCCTCTTCCAAACATAACAGATTTGTTAGACAAATTAGGGCGATGCCAATATTTTTCAACATTAGACTTAGCTTCAGGTTTTCACCAAATAGAAATGGCAGAAGATGATATTCAAAAAACTGCATTTAATACAGAAAATGGACACTACGAGTTCACAAGAATGCCATTTGGACTAAAAAACGCGCCAGCGACTTTCCAGCGAGTAATGGATAACATACTGAGAGGTATTCAAAATGAAAAATGCTTAGTATATTTAGATGACATTATAATATTCAGTACTAGTTTACAGGAACATATTTCTCGACTTAGAGAAGTTTTTGAAAGGTTACGTCAGTCAAATTTTAAAATACAGTTAGACAAATCGGAATTTCTTAGAAAAGAAGTATCGTATTTAGGTCATGTTGTAACGGCGGATGGTGTGAAACCAAACCCCGATAAGATAAAGGCAATCACAGAATTTAAAATACCAAAAACTAAGAAGCAAATTAAAGGCTTCCTTGGACTTTTAGGTTATTACCGTAAGTTTATAAAAGATTTTGCGAAAATCACTAAGCCATTGACAATCAGATTGAAAAAAGATGCAATTATTAATCCCAATGACGCAGATTATATTAAATGTTTCGAATTATGCAAGACTTTATTGACAAACGATCAAATACTCCAATATCCGGATTTTTCCAAACCATTCTTGATAACTACGGATGCAAGTAATTATGCAATCGGCGCAATATTATCCCAAGGTAAATTAGGCTCAGATTTACCAATAGCGTACGCCTCACGAACATTAAGTGATTCAGAAACAAAGTATAGCACGACAGAAAAAGAACTT